CTAGCTTGTTTTTAGCTGCTGGCTAACTTGAAGCAGCACTTCGGCACAACACGGTGAATTGATGATACAGTAGATCAAACAAGACACAAAATCACCGCTTTCAGTTTAAACATGCCTAAAAGGAGGACTCTGTGACTGGTGTGAGAGATTCACACTGCAGATAATGCTTTTACACAGCGAATGTCAGATATACTGCGGTTCACCCCTTAAACTACTACGATTGTATAGAGAAGCCCAGTCGTCGCTAGCTGGTGTCTGAATACTGTGATCTGCTCTGACATGGATGTGGTAGGAGTGACAGCAGTGACCTACCGAACCGAGTTGACGTTGTTGAGAAACTAAAGAGTTTAGCACTGTTGTTGGCCACTTGTTTAGCATTTGTAACGGGGTAGCCGAGCGCTCGTCACCAGACAGCTAAAAATGTTTTCTTTCTTAAATCATGACTATTACAAAAATTGCAGCTGTGCTTTTCAAGCTGATAAAAACAGCTCAGAAACTCTTCCATGGCAGATTAGTGAAATGTTCCACTGTTTGCCGAGTGTTTGTCATGATCGGACCATAAGTGATAGTTTAAAACCACAATTAACCACCCAGGAGCAAAATCAGCCTTCAAACGTGAAAGAAATCATGATTTGACATTTATCGCGATAGGTATCGATATCGAACGATATGAATTTTGTTTATCGTGATAACGTTTTTGGCCATATCGCCCAGCTCTACTCATATCTCATCTTCTGTAAGGTGAGAATGCCCTCTAGCTGCACAAACTACGTTTCATTTTCCATTTCCTAAGGTAAGCAGGCTAAACCTATGCAGGAGAGTGTGCAAGCACTTACACAGTAATACCAAGACTAAGCGTAAACACTCAGACACACTATGTAACACATGAGTGATTCATTGGGACAACCTACACTTCTACAGTCTCTACAGGACCCCATAAGAGTTCTCCAAGTGCTGTCAAGAATTCAAGCCAGATGGTCTTAAAAAGGTCTCAAAGAGCATCTACTCTGTGTGACTCAAGGACGGCACGATGCAAGCAGCACTTCGCACTATCAAGCAGGACTTCATTTATCTTAGATATACACCTCCTTAAACAGTACGTTCAGGTCTAAACAGAGGTGAGTAGACAAAAAGTATATACTAGATGTCATGCATACGGACATTACTGGTATTTGAATAACTATAGTGAAGTCAGCAAGCACTGAGTCAGTGTAACTTACAAGAAAAAGGTGAGCATTACTACAGTATTTATCACTATCATGTCACATTATGTCACAATATACGTATGTGAATATTGTCTACTTAAAGAACACAGAACAACTGCATGTTTCATTATGGAGAGAGCATAATTAATCCAGATTAACTGGATTTCGCGCAGTGCAGTATGTAAAATGTTCAATTAAATCATTGTATTTATAGTTTTTGATAGAGAATTATAAATATGACAAGTTCCTTGTTTTAACTTATCAAACTTACGTAAGAAAAACCAAATATTGTGACACTTATAATGAAGTGAATGTCTTGGAGTTTCGTGATATTATATTTTTGCCATATCCTCCACCCATACCTAGAGCCTAGCACAAAAAACAGCTCAGCTTTACAGCCTGAGGAAACACAGAAACCACTTACAAATGTATTTTGAACAGCAGACATATGCCGACTGGCCGCTTCATTAAGTACACTTCCTTGGTTCTACAATCACTGTCCATTTTATCAGCTCCGCTTTCCATAGAGGTGCATTTTGTAGTTCTACAATTACAGACTGTAGTCCATCTGTTTCTCTGCATACTTTGTTAGCCCCCTTTCACCCTGTCCTTCACCACAGAGCAGGTATTATTTGGGTGGTGAATCATTCTCAGCACTGCAGTGACACTGGCTATGTTTACATGCAAAGATTTTTGCCAATCCGATTGAATACAATCCGATTACAGATTCAGACTGAGGTGTTTATATGCACACTCTATTCAACGATTTGATGGAAAATCTTCGTTTACATGCTCACTACAAGTAATCCGATGCAAAATGACGCGCATGCGTGGAGTAGCGTTTAGAGTAAACGTTACCATGACAGCGAACATCACGTGAGGTCCAGTCCACGTGATATGAGTTTCCAGTTGGCGCGCTTGTGTTTTAATTGCTTTAAATTCTGCTCCGCCATGCTGAACGGTATAAACTTTCGCCATGACGCGACGCACATGCGCAGAACATACTTACACGTTCCGATTGGAATGTAATCGGATTCAGGCGTTTACATGGCTATTATTCTTCTATTTAACGGATTATTTAGAAGTTTACCCACTTCGTTCAATCGGATAGAAATTGTATTCCGAATGGCCTCAATCGGACTAGTCTATTCCGATTGAGGTGTTTACATGGTCGTGTTCTATTCCGATTGAGCTATTAGTCGGATTATTAACGGATTATCAGGCTGCATGTAAACGTGGCTACTGACATGGTGGTGTGTTAGTTCATGCTGTGCTGGTACAAGTGGATCAGACACATCAGTACTGCTGGAGTTTTTAAACACCTCAGTGTCGCTGCTGGACTGAAAATAGTCAACGTCAAATATCCAGCCAACAGCGTCTTGTAGCAGCATCCTGTGACCACTAATGGAGGATAACCAACACAAACTTTGCAGCAACAGATGAACTTCTGTGTCTGACATCTACAAAGAAGACCAGACAGGCATGTCTAATAGAGTAGACAGTGAGTGGACACAGTGTTTAAAAACTCCAGTAGCACTGCTGTGTCTGATCCACTCGTACCAGCACAATCACACCATCACCTGCACTGTCACTGCAGCACTGAGAATGATCCACCACCCAAAAAAATACCTTTTCTGTGGTGATCCTGTGGGACTTAACTACTGAAGAACAGGGGGTTAACAAAGCATGCAGAGAAATAGACAGACTACAGCTTGTAACTGTAGAACTACAAAGTGCACCTGTATGGTAACGGAGCTGATAAAATGGACAATGTAGAAACAAAAAGGTGTATTTAACGAAGTGGCTGGTTGATGTAAGTGCAGTTGAAGAAATGCTTCCCTTATCAAATGCCTCAGATAAATGGAGCAAGTCACGCTCCAAGTTACACATGAACCAAATGCACGAAGGCCATGATAAAGCACAAAGTCACAAGATTAACTTGAGCCTTAAATTGTTCAGTCAAGAACAGTGGTCTTTTAACAGTCCTCAAGCCCCCCAGACTGTCCACATTTTTCTCCAACCTAACTCATAACGCATAAGGAAAACATGTGGACTGTCTAGGGGGTCATGACCACTTTTCTAGTGCTGCAATGTTGTATATGGCCGTTTTGTGCTGCTAGAAGAAACAACAATTGGCAAGCAGTAGCTGAGTTCATTCCATTTACAGCATGTTCCTCTTTTCTCGATGAACAGTCATGCTGCATTAAGTTGATAAAGTAAAAAGCTGCAGTTAAGAGCCACTGTGACTAGACAGAATCACACTCTCTTAGCATAGTGCCCTGCAGAGTGCAATACAAACTTATCCAACACCTGGAATAGGTTACAGGAACACCACAAGTTGGGGACTGCTGCTTTAGCATGGAAGCCATTCTGAGCCCTTCATAAGAAATCAATATCACCTTGAATACTCTTGCAGAAAGGGTGAAGATCTATTTAACAATTAGTTCGCTTTTGTGGACTGCAGTAACAACAGCAGTGCACATCTTCCACAACATAATATAAATAGTTTTGCATAGTTCAATATGCAAAGCATGTATAACCACATCTGGGTGAAATCAGAAACTCTTAGAGGGTCCAAATGTGTTAATGATACCAGCAAATGGAACCAAACAGGCCAGTCTTTCCCAATTCCGGCCCTAAAGCACCCCTCTGTAGCCCATTTCTGTGTTTTTACTGCTCCCAACACAACTGAAATTATTAGCTAACTCACAAGCACTTCATCAGTTAAACTAAAACTCCCAAAAGCAATGATGCACAAAAAAATGTTATGATCAAAAGTAAAACTGTGTACTGGACTGAAATTAGACTACAGCACAAAAGCCTTACCACCAATAAATAATAAATCATTTACTATGGATAGTATTTTGGTACAATTCTACTTACACTGAGTATCAGCACATCTAAGCAGTATACACTTTATACAGGGTCACCACAATGAGGAAACTTGGGTGAATCCGAGATGACTCCAAACTAACTTAACGTTTAGCTACAACCATCAGCTCAGCTCAGAGACTGTGCTGGTACAAATATCGCCTCTTTCATGATACTAGCAAATCACACTAAAGAGGAATTCCATCGATGTTTCAAACTTTCTGCATAGTTAATTAAGATGTAGACAAAGTCATTCAGAGTGGGTTTTTGCGAAATGCTCCACTGTGACAGTTACAGAGTAAATGTCTCTGTAACTGTTCACTGGGGTGGTGACGGGAATCAGGCGTGTGAAGAGTTTAAAGTCTCTGAAATATCCCTTACAGAAATAGTTATGCCTGATGCATGAGAAACTGTTTTGCAGTAATTTTGATATGTTGGTCTAAAACATTTTTTAATATATTCACAGCAGAGAGGCATAAGTGCAGCATGCTGTGAGGTAAAACACTCCCAAAAGAAAACATTTCTTTCAAGTTTACTCTGTTATACCATTATTAACCATACATATAAAAACTCAGAAGACATGTGTAGGTTCACTATTTATTTTGGATAGTAAATAAAAGGGCTAGTTTTGTACTGTAGACTTGTGACCCCTGGTTCTCATCACCACCACTGTAAAGAAATCTAATTGGGTAAGTTTCTCTACAAAGAGCTGCTTCACATAAAACCACACTTAATGACTTTGTTTACATTTCAATGACTATGTTATGAATTATGCAGACATCTGTGGAATTCCCCTTTAAGGATTCTTACTTATTTAGTTACTTGTTTAGCTTTCTCCAGTCACTCAGACAGCTAAAAAAGGCAAATGTGCAAATATGACCATCTTCTGACAGATTCCATATGATACATTCATACACGACTCACCTTGCTGGGGATTCTGAAGTTCTCCACAGGGCTCATATCTGCCATACTCTCCTGAGGGCTTTTCAAGCCCTGTCAGAAAAAAAAAATATTATAAGGTGGTATCTAAGACAATGAAACCCAACGCAGCTTTGCGACACAACAATGACAATGACAGTGTCAGTAACAATGACAATATCACTAACACAAGAGCACAGATGACATGAGGAACCTACAACGCCTGCCTCTACAGAGACACAGACCTGCCAAAATGCAGGGTGCTTGACCGGAGACTATGGCTGCGTCTCAAACCACTTACTACGACACTATACTACATTAATAAATTCACTGTTTATGGCGTTGTACTATTGTTGACATACTAAGCAGTATGTGGTTTGTGAGGCTCTGCACGAATTCCTGCTAACATTGTGCACTCCAGTATTATTATTAAGACACTGCTGGTTAAAGGCAACGCTAGCTTCTGAATGAGGATGCCTGTGTCAGTCAGGCGACCTCATCGTCTCGCTTACTAATGTTGCTAGCTATAACCATTTATTTCAGCTGCTGACAAACATTAAAGAGTCTCGTTCATAGCTACAAACATGAATTCGTACTGTGTCACCTCAGTCACCCCTGTTGTTGCTCAGGTTTGTAGCTTCGTCGGCGGCTCGCTACCGTTAGCCTCATATGTTTACCACCTTGCTAACCGCACTTCCGGACTTCTCCCTCCTTTAACATCCAAAGAGGAACATACAGGGCTATGGACCACTATCACTCACCTGTCGGGACATTAGAGACTTGATTTTCTGCATCTTGAAGCACAAGAAAAGTATAATTCCTGCAAGCCACAGCTGTTAGGACACTAATGTATTTCAAACAGCGAATCAGTTACTGCTATGCGAGACAGCTGCCATATTTCTTTTTGCTCACGTGACCGGCACGGTCAGTGGTTCTGGGAGATGTAGTTTAAGTAGACCTGCTCGAACTGGTGTGACTACAGAAAAACTGCTCTCGGCCAAAATCCTACTGTTTTACTTGAATATCTTGGTAAAATGTGCACATATCTTAAAGAGTAAGTCCTGTACAGTGGCTTTTATGTTTTATGTTTCTGTTGCCTGTTTTATCCTCTTAATAGACTTATGAAAGGGGCGCAGATGAAAAGTACAATTTTCACATTAAAACGTATTTGTAAAATTTGAAAATTAGACTACTGGATTTCTAATAGGAACCTCCCAAAAATAGGGGGTGAAAAAGTAAAGAAACCATTGAGAGTATTAAAGATGTATATTATATGACACTGTGTGTGTATATTAAAGCATGTCCAATAAATGCTTTTGACATGTTAGTTTCAGATATTTGTTGTTCAGCATTTATTCACATTGTTATTCTGCTAAGGACTCTTATTGTGAAGTGCGGGGCTAGTTCCAGCCAGGGGGGTGTGAGCAGAAAGAGCTGAGAAAGGAGCAGTGAGCTGAGTAACCAATAGCCATAGGTTTCCACCTCATCGTGACTCAGCTGAGGCGCCACAATGTAACTGCAGCACCATTTAACATGGAACAGGAAATTTAGATAGCTAGCTACTGAGACATCAGCGCGCTACTAGCGATATTTTTTATGCTTGTTATAAAGAAAAGGTCCATAATTCATCGAAACAACATTAAGAATAAAATGGTTATTGTAATGTTTTAACGGAGAAAATACTTACATTTGTGGGTTTCTTTGGTCGCCTGCGCAGCCATCTTGCCGGTTTGTCTTTTTTTCTCATAATACTCTGTTGGGAGTGTGTCTCTGAAAAAACCTCTGTTTGGAGGGCCATGTAGCCCTAACACTTTGCCCTACCCCTCTATCTCAAAAAAATCGGGACACCTTACCCCTAGGCGTGAATGCACAAAACAGAGGGGTAAGGGTTAAATGGTAGGGGCAAGGAGTGAAAGGGGTGCGGCCTATGTCCCTATTATGGAGGGTGCACGTCATCCATGAACCTCCTTGCATGGTCCTTCGCACAGCTACGCCCCCAGAGTTCAGGCAGGATGTACCAGTAGCAGAACACTACAATTCCTCAGCTTTTCTGACTTACACATCAGTAGCTGAGATGTGCTGTATAATCTGAACTGCGTGTCTGGTTTGTGCTCTCAGATTTGTTCTGATTTTTTGACTCAACACAAAACACTCAGGGTATCATTTGTTTGTAGTGAATTCTGCTGATGGATGGAGAGTCAAGGACAAAAGTGCTATTTTTGCTTTGAAAAAATAATGAGTTGTTGCTCTAGACGACCAACAGATGGCAGCAGTTTTCAAATGGAGAAAGTACTTTGTAAAATGCTGAGCCTGACTACAGGTTTGTGTGTCTTCTCTTAAAGGTCTATTAGAAGGATTCATTTGTCATCAAAGAAATAGCAGATAATCAAAGCTAAAAGTTAAGAAATAATATTTAAAGAAAAGCCGCGCCCATTTCTAAGCATGATGCTATGAAACTGCATGTTATGACATTTTCACGTGTGGTCTTAAGTACAACTGTGGCATTATGTTTTGTGTTTTGTGTGATTACATGTGATATTATGTACAATTCTATTCAGTGTTACACCATGAAATTACACAGGTATAATGATGTGAGTAAAATCACTAATGAATAATAAGAATGTGCAACACATCTGGAAAAACAACATCAAGTGTCTAAAAACACATACAGATTGTTGCCACTGGGGCAAAAGCTCATACCTCCAAAATAGTAACTTTACAGGAGAAAGAAAATAATCTTCTTCACTTTGAATAGAGGTTAATGGAACAATATTTTTTTCAAGTAATTTTGGGCCATATCTATCAGTCTGTTTGTCATGAACCTTTTAAAATTTGTAAAAAAAATACAAATAAATAAAAAATGGAGATAGAAGGTTTTGGCCCGACAGCAACAATATGCTTATTCAGAATCATATTTATCTAAAAATCACATAACATGGTGTAACTGCAGTAACTTCAAAAACTTTTCTAAAGCAGCTTCATAATAAGTATTTACCATCACTCCAATACTCACAAACATTTACATACAAATTCAACACACAAAAAGTTTTGCTAGCCACCTCTTGTCAGCAGTGACAAATGCTGACAATAGCATTTTGCTTCTTGTGCTTCTTACATGTTAAAACTTTTGAAAGAAAGCTTCAGCACCACTATACATAAACCTATGGTGGTGGTAGTGGTGGTGACAACAAACCTTCAAAGGTATTACAGAGTAAGAGGCAAAAGTTCTTACTCTGCAGCTTCTGGATTTTCAGGATTTTAACATGACGGAATGACATCAGTGTGATGATGATAATTAGTAAATAAATAAATGAATAAATACCCCCCCCCAGCCACCACCACCACAACTCATCTTTGCTCCAGGAAGTATGTATACCAAACACACTTGTGGAAGCAGTGACGTGCTGTCGGACTTGTTTGGAAGTGACTCTTTCTAAAGAAAATTCAGTGGACTGCATGGTGTGGATGCTAGAAGGAGCTTAGTTCCTGGTTAAATAAGTCAGTGACATGAGCGCTGATTTCCCTGTCAAATGAGGGAGCAGTAAGGCCTCCAGACAGTGGAGCTGTTGGTGTAATTCCTCTGCTCCTCCTGCAAAACACACACCAAACAGATGGTCTCCCACCATAAAACTTGCTCATATAAAGCCATTATCCAGTCAGTTCCAGTCTTTATGACTCAGGTCCACCAAACAACTACCTATACTGATGTGCCTCTGGGCCCTGATCAGCGAGCTGTATCCAGTCACAATAAATGAAAGGATTTGTCAGTTGATCACTTGCCGCAGGAACACAAGCAACCAGAATTGTTATTCAAATGAAGAATTATGCAGTTTTTCAGTTAAAATGCACAGTTATTCTGCAGCCTAACAAAGCCTCAAGGCCAACAGTCTCTATAGCCCTCATCTTTAAATAAAGGATCTTCTACTGTAACACTGTTAGAAAAATAGGTTCAATTTTCATTTATCAAGATACAAACAATGTAAATGTTCCCTCAAATGTACAACAGTGATTTTAAGATCCAACTGAGTACCTTAAATAAGTTTTCCCAGGTGAAAAGTATATATTTTTACCTTTTCATAACCTAATGTTTTAAAACAAAACAATAAAATAAAAGCCTGGAGACAAGACAGGGTGTGTGGAGTCAACACAACTTACAAAATATCATTTTAATGGATTATGGTACAATTATGTTTCTTAACTAAAGGTACTGAGGGGTACCCTTGAGGGTACCACTCCAGTGACAAGAGAGGTACTGCCCTAGTAAGTTCGTACCTTTCTTCTGAGAGTGTAGCTTCTATATACAAGAGTAATTACACCTTAAAGCTGTGTTTATTTAATTAATTAAAACCAAAAATATATTGCTTTGTAATAATAAGACAACAGTCTTATTGAAATTTAATGCTTCTTTTCAAACTTTCAAAACAGCATAATTAATGTGGTCAGCTCAGCCTCTGCAGCACCCCGTCTGGCTCAACTCTGCTGTAGATGCACATGACATCAACTAGAGCACAAAGCTGTGTCATAAGATGAAAATCTGAAAATATGAAATATGAGAAGCAAACTGTGGGAGCACAGCCGTGTGTATTAATGTATTCATTCTTTTACCGAATGTTAGGTAAGATGTACAAATGATCTGGAAAAACAAGGCAATCCCTGCTAGAAAAAAGCAGCATAGAACAGCATGGCTGACCACCAGCATAACCAGCGTATGTTTTGCTTCGGATGCTCGTATGCTGGTCAACCAGCTCAGACCAGCATGGATTTAAGGTGATTAGGGCAGTTTCTTTTCAGCAAGTATGTAATATGTTTCTTGCCATTTTTATATCAGAAATTACCACCACTGCCATAATGCTAAATTCTATTAGCCTGTCTATGGGGTTTCAGTGTTATATTAGCACCAAACTAACGATGGTGAAAGATCACTTTCCCACATTAAGTTTAATATTAACCTACATAGACAAAGGATGACTTCAGCTATCTAATCCTTCACCACTGCTGCAATAAAGCTAATTTCTGCTAGCCTGTCTATGGGGTTTCAGGGTTATATTAGCACCAAGCTGACAATAGTGAACACTCACTTTCCCACGCTAAGTTTAATGGTACCCTACACTGTATCATGTGATACAAGATAAGTCTGGATGTCAGTGTGCTCAAATAATCAAGCCCATTCTGTCCATCTTTCCGTGTTCCTCCTGTTAAGTTTCTCTCTCAGTTTGTGTTTGTGTGCTAGGGCTACAGAAAGATAAGGTAGTTTGCAAAGACATTTCATCAGCATTATTGTAATTGTGTTAACAAGTTACGTTTAGATCACAGTGAAGTTAAGGTGACCAACATGGCACAGTATTACTTTTCTGTTTAAGCTTTGGCGTTGTAGTGCCCATCCTCTTTCCCTATCAAACAGTCCAAAATATTATTTCCATTTTTGAGCAAGTTGAACTATGAGTATGAAACTAAGGCGTGTCAATACTCTTTAATGTCTGACATTATCTGAGTTTTCACAGTGACTGATCTGAAGAACTTCAAACTCATTCAAATCATATGAGAACAAAGTGAGTTTTCATCATTGAATTTATCATAACAAATTCTTAAGTTAACTATTTGGGAGTAAACTATAGAGACTCCAACTTTGAGTTCTGTCCTATTGCATTTTCTTTAACATACTGCATTTAGCTTTGGGTTATGACTGGGTTCAACTTGAATAGAGGCAATTTTACACACACATGCAATAAAAGTGCTGCGATACACAGACAACAACTAAACACACTCATACACGGACATCGTGACTCAAGTGAACAGTGAGACCAGCTGGAGTCCAGTGCTGAGTTCTAAACCTTCTGTTGCTTCCCCTTGTCCAGACTGCTGACACAACACTTTCACCCAAATCTAATCAAGGGGCAAGCAATCTAATCCAAGAAAATCAATGTACAACTGCTTAATCTTTATTAAGTGCAACTTAATCTTTATTTTCAAAACAGAGCGCGCTTTATAAACTGTAAGTAGTTGCAAGGTAGTTTTATGATAGAAACCCATTCGTGCTTCAACAACTGCTTCAATGCACTATAAAGAACAACAGTCTTGTTTCTATGACATAGAATACCACAGGATACAATGTCATTGCAGTGTGCAAAAATATAGTATTAGAATACAAAATTGCATACTATTTACATTCATATTTCAGGCGAAGCAAAGCAATAAGGGCTAGGCTGCATTTAAGTGTATAACTGTATGAATACATAAATACTCTTGGGTATCAGTGTAGCTGGTAACATACAGTACTGTGCAAAAATCAGAGACCACACTTTGTTTATTTAATATCGAGTCAAAACAGCCCTTAGGTACAAGACAATCATTTTTCAGGAGATATTTCTGGGGAAATGTGATATAAGATCTCCTTGCATAAGAAAAAAGAAAGTCAAGAGGAAAATAGGTTGAAAAAAAAACTGGGGTTCAAAAACTGACTAAAAGAGAAAATGGGACTCGTAAAACTGTGCAAGACCTGGTAGACCACCAAAACTGACCCCAACAGATAAACAGTACTTTAGATTTCAACACTGAGAGAGAGGAGAAAGGCCCAACTTTGCTATTTAGCCCTTACCCCTCTGTTTTGGTGGTCTTCATGCCTTGAGACAGAGAGGTAGGGTGAAGTGTTAAGGCAACATGGCCCTCCAAATGGAGGTTTTTTAGGGGCACACTCCAAACAGAGTGTTATGAGGAGTATTTTCTCTGTTAAAAGAATACAATAACCATTGTATTATATTAGTTTAATGTCGTATGTGGTATGGTCCTTTTCTTCATAACAAGCATAAAAATCACCAGTAGTATGGTTATGTCTCGGTAGCTAGCTAGCTAACTTTCCCGTTCTACCTTAAATGATGCAGCAGTTACATTCTGGCACATAGATATACACATATATCTATGTTCTGGCACCTCAGGCATCAAAACTGTTGTACCCTTTAAGGTGGAATGGGAAAATTTGAATAAGAAGCTGGCAAACAGCTGATTTCAGCTTCATATATCAGAAGAATTAAGGGTGGGCGATAACAAACAATTGGCGCGTCCCCCTCCTTGAAGGCATATGATGCCCTAAATTCAGCTAAAGCCCAGCAGTGGAGGGCCATCCCATTTTGTAGGTTAAAAACAAGGGGTAGGGTTAAGAATAAGAAATGGGATTGGGCAAAAATCAAGCTCCACCTTTGCTCCATATCTGAAAAAAATCCACAGGTGTTTCTGTCAATCCTTCCACTGTGAGGAGACAACTCAGCACTGTGAGTCTGAAAGGATGTATAGCTGTCCAAAAATAAACAAAATATAATACAGAAATAGGAGATAGACAAAAAACAAGAAAAATTGCACTAGAACACTGCAACTCTGCAACTGAGATGTGGAGCAAAGTTTTATGGATGAATGATTTTCATTTAAGTAACTCAGATTGCATGAGAAGCAGAAAATGCAACCGACATGTAAGACTGAGATGTTGGAGGTGAGGAAAAGTATCTGTGCAGATTTCTGCGAAAAACTAAAAAAAAAACAAAAACAAAGAGAATGTCCTGAAAATAATGGCGGCTATAATAAAGGAAAAGAGTCAACACACTAAATACTAAAATGTAATATTATATTTGAGGATTTGGTGTAATTTTCTGTGCAAGTTTTCTGTTTTTGCTGCTTTTCCTGATGCTGAAAAATCTAATAAATTAAGGGTGGTCTCTGATTTTTGCAGAGTCTTGCATATTTAAATATTGAAATCACATGATCAATCTTTTTTCACACAGTCATTACTAATACCACTGAAGCTGAATGTCAGTGCTGCTGCAAGTATGTAAAGCCTTTGACAAGAGAAGAACTACAATATAATGAACATACTCTATATACAGAACTGTGAGGACCCTTGTGAAATAAATAAATACCAGTTTTCTGTATCAGCTAGATGTAAAATGATTGGGATTTTGTCAAAGTTAAGGGTCTTCATCAAATGCTTATGAGCATAATCAAATTCAAGTGACTTTAGGAAGAAATAAAGAGGTGATGGCATTAACCAGCATGCCCACAGGACAAACGGCCTTCATAACTTTTCTGTAGGAACACTACTGAGTCCAGCCCGTGTGTGTTAAACCTTCTCACTTCAGTAGACTGAGCGTGGGAGTTTCAGGAACATGTCTGATGACATCATAGATGGTGGTATGCAAATCTTTGACAGAGTCGAGCCGCGCCAGAGATCTGCACGACGCCTGGGGAATGAAAAGAGAACACATCACAGCTAATCCTGTGAAAAACAACTAGTTACGAACACACTAGAGGCTTTATTTGGGCCAGCTGACTCACATGGTTAGACTCCATTTTCCCAGGTATGGAGACAAACTCGTAGATGCCGAAGTCTTCAGTAGCGTCCTCATGACCTATCAGAACAGGACAAGGGTTATCTGATGGCCTAAATGTATGCAGCAGCAATAACTATGCAGCTGAAGAGTAGAGCACTTATACAATAAACTGTTGTATAAAAATTAATTTGACAAAAACGTAATACACAAGAAAAGACTGTGTTTTTAGACATCAAATGCTTTCTTTCAAAACAAAAAAAGGCCAATTAAAAGAGTCATAAAGTACAAGTTATTCATTTTCTGTGTCAAAAAAAGCCATTACTGAGAAAAGTAAACAAACGAAGAAGAGTAAAACACCAAAAATGGACATCTGAGATGTGGAGGACTGATGGGTCTAAATTTGAGATCTTCGGAAGTAACAGAAAACAGTATGGACTGACCACCCAACTGTCCAGACCTCAATGTGTTTGGGATTACATGGATTGTGAGAAGCAATGGATTGTGAGAATGTAACCAAGTTCTACGGCTGAACTTTGGAGATTTGGGAGATTAGGGTTCTTTGAAAAACTGAAAGCAAGTGTCTCAAAAAGAATGGAAGCTGTAATAAAGGCAAAGGATGTTTTTTTTTTTTTTCCCTGACTCTGAAAAATGAATAAAATGACTTACTGTACTTAAAGGGCCCATATCTTGATTTTAAGTTGATATAGTTTGCAGACACTGTTAACCCCTTATGATGACCTGGGCCGGTCCAGAGGGCCCAAAGTTTTATTACACCCTTATATAAACTAAAAAAAAAGCTCAACCAGTTTGCACTGGAGTCTCCTTAGTTACTGAATAATAAGCCTTAGTATGTAATAAGCCTGGGATTTTGGTGACACTTCATTTTGAGTGGTCTTTTATAAATTAAAAAAAAACGCTCAAATGACTCCCAGTAACATATCAAAAACATACGAGAGTTAGGATTAGGTTTTGGGTCGAAGTTAAGGTTAGGGGGTTAGGATTAAGGCCAGGGTGAGGGTTAGGTTGTGGGTAAGCTTGGGTAAGGTTAGGGTTTTGCATAATGCAGGTAACATATTAACAATACATCTATTTAATGTAAGTAATGTATCAACAGAACATCTACAAGATATTTACTTCAATGTATTCCGACGCTTCACTACTGCTACTTTAATGATATGCTGTTGATGTGTTACTGATAATCTGTGAAGAGGACTCCTAATAAAGTGTTACTATGATTTTGAAGGGTTTAAGTATCAAAACATACTGGTCACTCCACAGCTTTGCCTACACTAAACTAAACTTTAAATATAATATTTAATTCATAGTTTTTGGAAAGTCATGAAAAACAATCCATTTACATATATCTACCTGTACAATTGTAACAAAAACAGCCTGTTAGAAAATTTTAAAATCTTGTAAAAATACATTATGACTGTATTGATCTACAGGTTAATTTATGGGAAAAAATAATATAATTTCTGTGAGGTGTTATATAAATAAAGACATTATAATTAATATTATCATTATTATCATTATCATTATTATTATTATTATTACTAACAATATTTTTATAGGTATTGTTTTTGAAATTACTATTATTAACCTATTTACCACTTGTCTACTTGTCTTTTCTTTTCAGTACATGCTTTCCAAACAGCCTGCACTGCCACCAAACAGTCAGTAACCCTGTGCTACAGTTGTACTCCATAAACCGACTACAGACAAGGGACTAAACAGATGTCTGTAGGTTTCAGCAAACAAGAAAATACATTTGTGCAATAGGTGACTGAAACCAGCCAGGTATAATTATGGTAATTGTTTTGAGCTGATAGGAGGGCTGCAGTGTGTTTGACTAGAGGCTATGTACACAGCACTGCTTGACAACACACAGCAGTCACAGAGTATAAACCATGCAAGACACTCACCTGAGCGATGCAGTCCTTTTTGTTCTGGCATAGGCCTGGAGGGGAGGGGCCAAATCAGATGTTATTTAACCACAGACATAAGGTAAATATTTATCTCAGGAAATATTTATCCAAACCTTATTCTTCTTACCTGCTATAAATTTTCATCAACACTGCAGAAACAAAAAAAATATATCTGATTAAATATGATCAGGTACCAATACAGGATACGATTATTGAAAGTGTAACTGATACTGTTTGTCCTCAGCAGTTTCGATTATGTTTTCTGAACAATTAGTGATAAGTGTGAGAACTTCCTTTTCCCAGAAACTCCAGCTGATTTGGATAAAACCTGTGTCTCTGAACCTGCTTGTAACTATAGGCAAATTAAGGAATACATTTGATTATACATGAATGCTAGAATGATGTCAATGTTCCTCAGTCCAGCTGGGTGAGAATTTACTTAAAAGTGCATAAACACTTAGAGCCACAATATTTGTGGGTACATGTAAAATACATGAGGGGTTCACATTCACCTCTTTTAGGATGGCATGTCTTCCTGAAGAACACAAACAGCATGCACAGGATAATGAGGAGTGAGGAGATGGTGATGGCAGCTAAAGGAGACACTGCACTCTCTCCCTGCAGCTTTTCACTACCTGCAAACAGATCGCAATGTGGAGATATTAAGAATGTTACTATGAATGCTAGTTAATTAGAGTGTCAAATAAAGGTGGTTATTGTTTTTAGACTTCATTTTTTTTCAATTGATTATAATCTATTATAATAATATTCAATGAAGTATGAGCTCATTTTTGGCCAAAAAAGCTTTCAGGCTATTTAATCAATCACAAAAATAAAAAAAAAGGATGTTTGTGTATTGGTTTACTGTCTTCATTCTACTACAGTGTAAATAATTTCTCTAGTAACCTTTGCACATTCAGAATATTGTTTTAAAAAAATCTAATTATGCACTGAATCATTTCATACACTCTTAAAAATAGAGTGAGGTGCCATTTGCAAATGTTTGGGTGCCCTGGTTATATTACGTGTTGTTGATTTACTATGTGAAAATAAGTACACAGCCTCTACAGAGAACACACTCCTGTACATTTTCTGCACTGTTTATTTTCTAAATTTAACATATTGGAAAAAAATTTAATATAAATTTTGCCAAAAAATTACACTTCATTTGGATGGTCCACTGGAGATGCTTTGCAGATGCTCAGTCTATCTTCAGTGAACATTCATTTAAATATCCATTAAATGCAACTGAACTTGAAGTTGTGTGCGAAAGATTCTGTTAAATCTAACACTAACCCTAAACCTTACCCTAACCCAAACCTCAAACCAAAACCTCCACCAACTCCTAGACCTAACCCTAACCTTAACGTTGTTGACAATCAACTGAGTATCACCAGAAAGTTTGTTAATAACAAATGTATCTGTGAATCATCTATAGGGGACTGTTCAAGTAAAGTGTGATCCAAAATGTAAAAAACACCAAATTTCAGCGAGTGCTCTGTATGAGATGTGTTCACTTACAAAATCAATTCAACATGTCGTTTGACCAGGGGTGTTCAAACCTTTGCATATGACTGTATGTCATACAGGGATGGGTTAGTGATGCAGCCAGTGCCCAGAGGACTCTGACTGCCAGGGGTTTTAAGAGGGCTTGGGCCTGATGTGGCTCAAAGGTTGCAGATGTAAAAATTTGCTGGCCCATAAAAATGCAATAAAATGAAATAAATGCCCTCAGCCAATACCCTGCCACCTCCTGCAAACACACAGTAAACATCACAGAGACAGGCACAAATGTACATACAAATTTTGTGTTAATCCTATTTTGTGTTATGAACATTTATAATAGTAAACAGCCCTCCAACACCAAGAATGCACATTAATTAACTATTGCCCGTAAACTGACAGTTAATAACTTTGTTTATATTACATTTTTTCCAGCACTTTTTGTGTTATTGTATTTACATATTGTATGGGTTGGGGGGGTCCAAAGACACTTGTGCCCAAGGGTCTCTTGAGACCACAATCCATCCCTGATGCCTTAGAACTACTTTAGGTTCTCTCAAGGACCATTTTAGTTGATGGTTCTGAGCTCAACTGAAATCAATCAGCTGAAAAGCGGCATCGCTCAGAACCAGAACCAGCTCAGTTTTTGGTTCCTTTGTTTTTAAGAATCATTACTGAATTGAACTGTTGTGAAGAGTTATATCCATTGATCTTTACGCAGCTAGTAGTGAGTAAAGAGATCAAACGTTTTTCGTGTCTTTGTGGTTGAGGAAACACTGGAGGTTATATCTGTTTCTATGTCATGTGGCATTAAGTCAACAATGTGTGATGTGCAAGCGAAACATCATTGTACCTTTAATGCATTATGCCAAAGTTAGAGAACTAAACCAATACAAGCTTCTTTTCTTAACTGAGCTTACATCAACTGCCCAGTGATGCCCAAGCACCATGAGGTTTGGAGTCAAGACTAACATTTAACTGGAATTTTGTCCTCTTTTGAAGAGCAGCAGGCACCGAGACCAGCTGCCAGCCCTTATTTACTTTCCAGTCGTGCAGCACGTCTTTCACATAAGCTGCAGTGATATCTGCTTAGCAACTGAAAAACAGCTAGGGCACAGCCGTTATTGTAAAGCACACAGCATGCTTATCAGATGCACTTCACAAAACGATGAAAATCGGCTTAGTCATGCAACGTCAGAGCTGGGCAAGGATCTCTCTTTGTGCTAACTCAAAAGGTCTTGTCCCTAAGCATTATTTGACCCATAATCCCATTTATACCTTTGCCAAGATTGGCCACCACCAGTGTGAAGTGAGTTTCATCCTGCTTCTTCGTCACGTTGTTGAAGGCCCGGCACAAGAACTTCGTGGGTTGAGCTAACTTGTGTGATGGAACCTCAAAGCGAGGGCCAGTCATGAGGACTTCTGTGCTGTTGTCAGTCCTGGAGATCCACACACAGGTGTTGGGGGGGTTTGAGTCAGCTAAGCAGTCAAAAAAGATCAGCTCTCCTTGATTTACAGTGAACACTTCTCCAATTCTCAACCCCTGATCCGAGTTCACTTCCAGATTGTAAGGGCCATCTGAGGAGAAACAGACACAATCATAGCATTATGTTTCACACACATTACATTTGTCATGTTGTCATTGTCAAATATATATATCTCACTGCTATCGGAACAAAACCTCCAAAAATCTCCACAATTTTACAGGAGAAGCAAAAAATAGACTTTAGTTTTAATGGAAGTCAATGGAACCATATTTTTTTCCAAGTCATTCTGGGCCATTTCTTTTGGTCCATTCATTATCAAATTTGCAAACAATGTAATGGGCAATCAAACATGACAGCTGTCCTTTACATTGTACAAGAACTTTTTGATGAATGGACTAATAGAAATGCTCCAAAATCACTTGTAACACAACTTCTTTATGTTTCTTTACATTTCTTCTGTAAAGCTGCCATTTTTCAGATGTTTGTTTTTTTGTTTTTTGTTGATGTTTTTTTTTTTTGACAGTAACATTATTAAACCACCATATCTCCAATCTCAAATGCCACTGAAAGTTAATCTTTCAGACAATGCTGTCTTCTGCACTTTGCTATGTTTGCTGTCTTTCAGTGGTGTAATTGGATGTATATGCCCGTATATGCTGTACACCTAATTAGAGAAAAATAGACAAAGTGGGATTAAAAACTCCTGTGAATGTTTATCCTGAAAAATATTAGCATGAAGTGCTAGTCTAGTACACAAGTACCATTAGAATATCATTTAACTAACATGGAAAGCATTACACAAGCAAGGTACTATTTTTGGTATGACCTCTGTTGAGGTTCCATGCGAGCTGAAACTAACACATATGCTAATGCTAGCTACTAGGTTAGCATACTCTTTTGCATCGCAACCAGACTCACCTCGTTGTCTGAACTCTGATGCAGAATTTTTCAGACTCTCAGCTGTCTTTTGTCTTGCTGCATTCAGCCTCTATCTAATCTCTATATATCATCTGTATATTAGTTTACATTTTGTGCCAAGTGTATTTTTTAACAACACTTTTTATGCTATTCCTATTTTAACACTTTTTAGGTCTGATCATATGAACAGTGATTTTGACTCACATGGTTTCTTTTAATTTCAGTTTTTTCAATTGCATAGATGCACTTGCCGAAACACTAAACTCATCCTCAATATAGTGCCTCAGAGTGCCACAGCAGTAATGCAGTTTTTCACAGCACTATATAATTTCTCATTGTGTTCACACAGAATGCAAATGCACATTTTGCAAAAGATTAAACATGGTTATAATCGCATAGACGCAATCCTCATTTGATGCTGAAAATCTGATTGTAGTCTTGTCTGTTGTCTGTGTACATCTCACATCCACATCGACAGAGCTGTTCATTGCACAAATCGTTGCATGCAAAATACTACATAAGACAAGCTCTTTTTGATAAAAGAGAGAACCTGGCTGTGCAGGAGGAAAGGATGAGTGTGTGGTGGTGCGGTAAGGGGGCCACAGAACATTTAATATGACCCTATCATAACAGATAACTGATAAAACAGACGTTCAGGAATGAAAACGGGTGTCTGAGTATTTTACAGGGTCAAAGTGACTGATTAAATTCAAAATATGTTAACACACCCTCTCCAGGGAACACACTTCCTGTGTATTTTCTTACTTTAATGAAATAATAAGTGTAATAACTAAAAAAAGGTCCTTAATTTTTAATATATGGTATTGTAACAAGTATCTACTGAGTCATTTGGCAGTGTTTTTATTGGTCCATTCATCATGAAATGATGATGAAGGACAGCTGCCATGTTCAAATGTAGAAAAATAAAAATTGACAAAAATGGAGATATGTTTGTTAGGACAGCAACGATATGCAGATGTTTTTACTCAAAGCTGTGGATGCTGGGTGTGAGGATATCAAGGCAGAGGGTGTTTCTCATATGTGTAAAAAGTTTTTTCCCACCATGTCTTGGAAGATAGGACAGAAGTGATGCTGATGAAGTGCTGTGTACACAATGATTACCATGGGGATTTACATCCTCACTTCTTTCTTCACTGTAATTACACTGAAATGTATCATTTTGATTGCTATTACTGACACCAGGCTTGCCGGTCTCATTTTGTCCTTGTGTCATTTATGAATGAATTTATCTAGACAAATAGAGGTAGAGAAATAGAGGTAGAAGTAGTTGGCTTAGTTTACTACATGCAGTGATACAGAATGAAAAGTGCAAAGCTGGGCACTCACAGAACACGCTGAGCTCCATGTCTTTGCTCCGTGCGCGGCTGATGGGGTTTGTAACCGCACAGCTGTACATGCCAATGTCCTCCTTCTTCACTGGGTTGATGAGGAGGGCGCTGTTGTTCTGGGAGAATATGCGACGCTCACTCGGACTGACCGTTTTGTCATTTTTAAGCCACTGGTACTTAGCCTTGGCCCCATTCTCCACAATACAGGTCAGAGTAACATTGTCCTGGTCTTCCACAAGCGTGCCCTCTGAGCTCTTCTTCATAACAGGGGTGGAAAGAGGCACTAGGAGGATGCATAATGAAAGATATTTTTCTAAAAAACACTCATTCTATACTTTATACTACCTACACACACACACACACACACACACACACTCACACACACACACACACACACACACACACATACACAGTATTTGTTTATGTCTATTTTTTACACATATTCAAAAATATTGAAAGACAAAGATATTCTTTCTAAATCATTCTAAGAAAGTTATTCTAAAGGCTACCTTGCAAAAAAATGATATATTGGTAAGATGAAACATCTTGAATGTTCAGAAGGTTGTTGGTTCGAATCCCAGGACTAAACATTCCTGGCAACACTGCAGAAAATTTTCTAAGTAAGCCAATTTTCTAAGTAAGTAGGTCACTGTAGTACAGCTTAACAACCTATTTCCAAATGGTTTTTACTTTTAAGTAAAAATATGAGGTGAAATGATCTTCCTGCACTGGCAGATACAGTACAGTGCAAATGTCAGAGACCACCCTTATTTTATTTCCAGTCAAAACAAACGTTAAGTACCAGTTTCCATTTTTCAGGAGATATTTCTGAGGAGATGAGATACAATATAATCCTCTTGCAGAAGGAAGGGGAAAGTCAAAGGACTGGACTCTTAACAACCGTGCAAGACCTGCAGACCATCAAAACTGACACCTTCATATAAACAGAACTTATAGCTTCCATCACTGATAAAGAAGAAAAAAAATCGAGACTGAAAAGAGTGAAAAGATGTGTAGCTGTCAAGAAGCCACTACTAAGATGAGGAAATGGACAAAAACGAAAAAAAAATCTAACAACAACCTTATAATAATCTCATACTCATGCATACTACATATCTTGCAATTGCTTTCACTTGATAAAGTACCTTTATTGCAACGCACACAAAAAACACTGATTCTAGATAGACCACCAGGAGCACACATATTCAAATATAATCATCCAGACAGGCCATGCAAACAAAACATTAAACACCATCTAAACAAAAGGCCCAGTGTCATCTGTCACACTACTGGGTCAGCTGATAAATGTCAGAGAAGTGAAACTATTCCATCATCTAATATCCTTCTCACCGTTCACAGTAATGCTCACGGTCTTTTTAATGGATTCCAACTTGTCTTTGTCAGGGAAGATGATGTTGATTTGTAGCTGGTACTCTCCTTCAGCTGCCTCATCCAGTTGCTTAAAGGTCAGGGAGATGCTAGTCAGATTGAAGATCAGTGTGTCCTTCAGCTGCAGGTTAGGGATCGCTTTGCCGTTTTCAAAGGTGACCAGGTGGTTTTCTTTGGGGCTGATCTGAGACCAGGTGCCCTGGAACTCCACCTCATTCATCCCAAAATGAGTCTTCACAGGGATGTGGAGAGGCTTCCCTTTGATTCCGTGCATGACAAGAGGCACCGAAATGAGTTCTGTGTTAGCACCTTTGGAAAAGAAACAATATAAAGCATATGTATGAATTATACCACTCAACTGAAAGCTTCCTTAGGGAATTAAAAGTAGTCCATATCTATGGCACATTGCTCAAAGAACTCTTTTTGGCATCTCATGCTTAAGACCACATGACTGTATGGAGTTGTTTATTCTGATCAGTTATAATAAGCCTGTATGCCAGATGGCAATAATGGGGCACTTTTTACAGCCAGGGAACTGTATATTTTCTTCCATGACAGTAGCGGGATGCCCTCAGGGAAGGCCTAATAATATCTGGGAAACAAAAAAAAAAAAAGTCCACAATTTTTGTTAATTTTTATTTAAAAGAATCATCATGCTTGTTGTATTTCAGTTCTGTAAGTATTTGTTAAATTTTGTTTGAAAAAAGGTTAAAATCCTGAAAAGGAAAATTGCCCAACAGGATTTTTCCCTCTGTGGTATCTATGTAAATACAGCCAAGCAGGCTCTCCTACAGGTTAGGCCTTCAGGAGCTAAACCGAAGCCCTTACAAGTTAAATTAACTACCAACATAATTAGCAAATGGACCATTTCCAAGTCCTATCATGTTTTGATTAACAATTGGTGGGACCAATTTTTATGAGGAACAAAAAAGTCACTCCAAGTTTTCTAGAAGTCAATGAAAGTTAATGACTTTGTAGCAAAACAGCAATAGCTCTATGTCAGGGTTCTTTACTGCAGGAATCACTGTAAAACTGCTACATACAAAGTAAAATATACATGAATAGGTCTATTACAAGCTTCAAATAAAACATGGAATGTCTTTAACATGCTTCAAATGTCTATGTTTAATCTTGAATGGCCAAACTGTGTACCAGTGTCAGCAGAAATTAGCACCATCATAGAATTTGTGAGTTTTTTTCCCCCCTAGTTTTCAAACCTAGTTTCGACATTTATGGCTTGAACCGAAGGCCCAGTTCTAACAGCCGTGGTTCGCCACTGCATGACAGTGATATTGACTTTTCCTGGAAGCCAATCAGAACAGACAACATCCACCACTACATCAATATTACCAATTTCTCAATCACACTACATCTTAGTGATGTTCCTCAGTAAGTGCAACATTGTTGAAAACATGTACAAAACGCGACCATAGGCTATATGATTCCAAAATATTAGACCATAATTTGTTTGCTTCACAAGTTAAAGGCTGTGAAAGCAAAGATAGGCTTCACAAGGCCCTGCTTGTCTGTGGCACATTAGATGATTTACACTTTCTGCACTTTAATCACCTCTGAAGCCTGATTCACTTGATCAGTCCTGTAACTGCCAAGGGCAAATATTGACAGGCTATACGGGATGATTGTAGCCAAACACAAGATCCTTTCTAAATTGTCCAAACTGGTCTTTGAGCAAACACCAGGGCTGTGTGAAGAAACTGCTGAGTATTACATGTTCTTCTAGCACGGAGAGAATGGACTTCTGCTCCTCCTCGTTTGAACACGGATATTGCAGAAGATACAAGCAGGTGGGGAAGAGTGAACAATTAGTCACTTTAAGCTCATAATACAACCATATTCGCTTAGGGAAATTAGGTGAAATTCTATTTCTGCCCTGCCTGTTAGAGATCACATTGTTTATTTACAGCAATGGTGAAGTATATAGAGGAATATATCACTTAACCAGCTTTAACCGATAACTGGTAATCTGTATTATGTTGCTTGGGAGGTCTATGTGGCAGCAAGAAGGTAGGTAATGGGTGTATAGGTACACACACTCATAAGGCCCTCTTCCTGGACACAGTCAGACCCACTCCCAGCCTGCTGCCAGCTCTGCGCATTACAATAGACCCCTGTGCAGCTCATGTTGTGTCCTAAATAATAAATAAGGATACCCCTATGGCACAGAAAAAAGCCCAGCAGCAGGGGAGGCCTGGAGGATAGAAGTGTGCCACTGTTTACTGCACACTATTCTCAGCAGGCCTGCTGAATAGTGTGGAGTGTGCTTGGCCTTCTCTGCTCTTGTTGTCTCCAAACAAACCAGAGATTGTTGTGGTGATAACAGTAGTGACTAAGCAGGACAATGGACATTAAGCTAAAGCTCCTTTACCACCAATTACATATCAAATATCCAAACAATATCTTAACACAAACACACTTTAGACATTCCACACACACAGGCAACTGAGATTTTTGGAGCAAAATTCAATTAAACTGCACTAAGAACCACAGTAGATTCGATATTGGAAAATAACAAAAGCCTACGCATGAATAATCCACTGAGTCAAGTCTGGTGTTGATTTAGAGCACCATGTGATGGCTCATGGAGATAAGGGAACTTGTAGCTGTCGAGTTATCAGAACACTGCCTGAGTGAGAAGTTTATGAATATTTAGTGCCTATTACAAACGGGGGGGGGGGTGACTACCACCAAACATATAGCTACTAATGCATTGTGTTAAGATCATTTTTCAGGGTTTAAATATTGTGGTAAACCTATCCCAACACCTACATATGAACAAAATATCCATCAAATGACAAAGATATGTATAAATGTTTATGAAACCATTTATCAGGAATAGTTAAATATAATAAACAAAGCATCAAAAGTGATACAACGCAGAATGACACTCATCTATAACGTTATGACCAAACAATCGATGGATTTACAACCACAGTCCGTGCACATTACTGCCAGCCCATCATTACTAGATACTATTATCCAGTAAATAATGAAAGCCATTTATATAAACTGATAGACAGAACATATGACTTCAGCATCAACTTTCCATTATGAAAACTTATACTCCATTTACTTTAGCTAACATTTACTTATTTTAACCACAACTCATGACATCATCCATAAAAAGCTTCATTCAGCACAACATGTAAAATCATAATATTGACATTGTTATTAGAAGAACATCTTACCTGACATTCGCATCATGACACATAAGAGCAGAGACACAGCAATTTCAACTGATTCCATTTCTGCTTGCTATGTTCCAGGAGCTCTATGACTTGTGACAAGAAAAGGGGAACTGGTGACAGCATTTGCCAGGGAAATAAGGCCCCTCCCACGGGACAGCAGGAGGACAGCATACACCTGGCAGAGGCTCAGAAAGGCCGGCACCTCCTCCAGGGCCACATGAAGCTCCATGAAAAGGCTCTGACAGAGACATTCACGGCTCAAGTATGAGGTATCAGATCACAGAGAAAAATACACCCATTTGTGAGGGGAACGTAACACACCAATACGGCCGTTGGGTAGATACTATTGCACACAGACACCTAAGTCTACACCAGCTCCAGACATATACAATGTACACAAGGATATGCAAAGTTTCACCCACACCCACAGCACTCAAGAACATGACCAGAAATTCCCATCAGATCGTTTCGGTCAACACTTGGCTTCATTTTCACCATCAGCGATGCAACTATGAAAGATGAATAAACACCAACAAATCAAGAATGTTTAGGAAATTGTATGTTTGGATTATAACCACATCAGCTATCAGCAGTGAGGAGATCAATCATCTAGAGGAATGATAGTTAAAATTTTAATCTAGCGCTCTCCTTTTGACAAATTTAACAACTCGTCATAACTCACACTTGTAAAATATATACAGTAGAGTGTAAAATTCAGAGATCACCCTTCATTCAATTTTCAGTCAAAAAGGCAATGACGTACAAGTTCTTCATTTTTCAGGAGACTTGTCGGATATAAGATAATCCACTTAAACAAGGAAGGGGAAGGTCAGGGGAAAATAAGTTTCCCCGAACTAGAATTTAAAAACAAACAAGACAAAGACCTGATTGACGACCAAAACCATCAACATCAGATAAACAATGTTTCACCTTTACAGCATGGGAGAAAATCAAGCTCCACTCTTGCTTCAGATGTGAAAAAATCCAGAATTGTTTCTGTCCATCCTTCCACTGTGAGCAGGGTGTGAAAGGATGCATATCTGTCAAGAAACTGTTACTGATAAAAGCAAATGGACAAAAAAAGGAAACAATTGCAAATCAGCCAAAGAAGCTGCTGGTATTCTCAGAAAAATGGACTGTCCACACCAGATCCCAGACCTCAACATCACTGAAAACGTTTGGGATTACTTCGACTGTGAGAAGCAGAAATTCAACCAACTTCCAAAGAGTGGACAACTGAATACTGAAAAAAAAACTGTTACATTTAATTTTTGAGGCTTCTGCATAGTGTATGTATATTGTAATATATAATGTAATAATTTGTACTTAGTAGCCATTTTAAATATATGATGGGTGGTCGCTGACCGCACAGTGCTATAAGACTGAATTGCAAAAAGGATGCCTGCGGAAATGTTTCGGCCTACAGAAGTCCAATCAATCAACCTTTCAAATGGTTCCTCTTTAACCCCTTAAACAGCCAGGAGCCATGGGCAGGTCCAAAGTTTTATTACACACTTCTGTAACCTAGAAATAACTCAACCAGTTTGCATTGTAGTCCATGTAGTTACTGAATAATAAGACTTAGGATGTAACAAGCCTGGGATAGTGAGAGGTTAAAAGAAGGTTATGTGCAGTTTACATGTAGCACCACAACTGATAACCAATGTTATAAGTGAGCTTTATTTGGACAGAGAATCTTCTGCTTTAAAAGCACACACACAAGCAAAAAATAAAAAACCCAGAGAGTCAAAGCCCTCACAACCCCTATCAAACTCAATCATTCATCCATACAATCATCATCCTGCTTAAGCAGGAAGACACACTGCTCCAAAAACAGCCTCATTTCAGAGTCCCTCAAGCAGACTTCTGTTGGTTTTGCCAGCAGCCTGGCAAGGGCTCCAAACACACTCAGTCTTCCAGCTACCTTTCACAACTGGACGCCACGCAGCTACTCTCTAATCTAACTCTGATCCTGATGTCTTCTTCTTCTTCTTTTTACTGTGTTTCTTATGCCTCTTCTTCTTCTTTTTCTTTGATTTGTCCTGCTAAAAAAAAGATGTAAGTGTTACAGATATAACAGTCCAACATTGCACTCTACTGTACTGAACTGTACTGCAGTGCGTTGTATTGTATCATATCAATGTATCGTGAGAAGCATGTTTGTTTTTAGCTAGTGTGTTAGCTCAGAGCTAACATTCGTTTGTGGCTAGAGTATTAGATAGGGACACAATAAAGCACAACTTTGGTTTCACATGTTGTGCTTATATAATATCGAATGCTCTAATAAACTGAAAATGATTACATGAATGAACATTAACATAGTGTGAGGCTTTTTCAGCTACTCCTTATTTTTGCTTTATTGCGTAATGTGCCAAATCAAGACACCGCTGTATCATATGGATTAATGATTTTGTGAATTGTTACACCACTATCAAGAGTAAAGGTCCAATCAGGCTTGGCTGTAAATGGCAGGCTTCTTCACAACCTGTCAATCAAACTTCCTGTCATTCTAACAGATTTCTATTTAAAAAGGCAATATTCTGCCCAAAGAAAACTTATTTTTAACCCTTTTTGAGAGCAGTTACGAAACCCATGGACAGCTTCAATTATTAATTACTTTTTTAACAAATGTTTACCAATTATTACACTATATTAAGAATCATAAACTTACTGTAGCCTTTTCTTTCTCTTCACTACTGCGTTTTTTCTTTTTGGATTCACCCTATACATGGAGTAGACAGTCATTTATTCTGAACATTTGGGACACACAAATTACACAGTATTAAATTAAAATCAAGCTGATTTCATCCAGTATGAGGTGGTGGTAGTGAAATTTTCTTACATCACCATCTAATTCGGACTCATCTGAGGACTCAGAGTGGCTTTTCTCAGTCTTCTTCTTCTTCCGACTGCCCTTTTCATCCTTTACAATGAAAAAATCATTTAATCAGAATAAGGCAAATGAGTAGATATGCACATACAGATAGCAGAAAATTGTTTAAGCCTAAACAAGGACATTTACATCACCTTATCTTTTTCTCCCTCTTCCCTGAGTTTTTTCTTCTTCCTTTTAGACGATTCCTGAAATGAATTAAAATTTGAAATCAATTCCAGTTCAACATAAAAGCACTATTACATATCAGAGAGTTGGAACTAAAGAACTATCCAGAAGGGGTTAGTTTTGTAAGTGGTGGAGGGATAATGTGATTTTACCACAGGACATGCATATTGAACAGGATAAGAAATCTCACAACAAATTACAGAGATGGGAGTGGCTACTTGATTTTAGTCACTGCTGTCACACTAAAAAAAGTTTTATATGCAATATGTTTGGCTGCTCACAATAGGAAACATGAACAAATTTAATCAGAATTTTCTTTATCCTAACCATCTACCTGGCATTGTAATTAGCTTGGAAATATATAAAAAAAATAATAATAATATTTGTCATTTACATGTTTAATGTTTGAAGTCAAACACCTAAGGTAGAACAATATTAAGATTTGATTTAGATCACACAGAATACAAGGAAATGCTTCCTTGGGTGCCTCTATGTGCAAGGAAAAAAAAACAACATGAACACTCCTTTTCTGAAGTTTGTTTATAGTAGGTAAAAGGCACTGGAATCTGTACTGATGTGGGAACACGCAGTCCATAAAAATGACTGACATGGTGTATTCAGACAGGACTAAAATCACTGTTATGTTAATTACCCCACCTCTTCATGTAACACTAATCCCACCTAAATAGTACTTAAGAATCTCACAGAACACAAAGTAAAAGAAGTAAAAGAATATGATAAACATCACCATTAATTCTGTATCATGTAATTAAATGTTGATACAGAATTCAAGTGGTTGAAGGGCCAAATGTTTTTCAGTAGGACCTAAGGATGGGTATCAAAATTCAATATCTTTACAGTATTGACTGAATACTAAAATTCTATCAAATATTTAAAAATTCGATACCGAATTTCAATACTTCAGTAGTCAGTCCATTTTGTAGTAGTAGTAGTTAGTCAGTCCTTCTGTGATCCATTAGCCATGCTTATTCCAAGATCTAGACTGCTTGGCTGTCTACATTATATTCTGTATGCATGTTATTAATTTCATTATTTCTTGATTAGCAATCTACTATATATACCCTCTTCTAGTATCTCACATTGGGCTAGTTAAAGATGAACTGCGCCTCACTCATGATCAGCCAGAGTAGCCAAATGCAAGTTGGACCCAAAACATTTTTTTGTTTAAGCCACACTCTATTTGGGTTTGCAATAAAAAAAAAGGTATTCAAAAATGATGTCATGAATCAATATTGCAATCAAGGTGTCAGTATTTGTGTTGATACTGAAAACTTGTTAAAGATATCCAGTCCTAGTAGGACCACTGAATGGCCTTTTTTCTGGTAGGAGTGATTGGCCAATGTTACCTTGCTGTCTGTGTCTGTCTCTGCATCAGAATCTTCAGATGCTTTCCGTGCTGAGGATCGCTTTCTTTTCCGCTTCTTCTTTACACTCTTCTTTTCATCCTGACATCAGCAACAAACCAAAAACACCACCAAACGATCACAACGATGGAAGAACAATAAATCTTTTTTCAGGAAAAGACTGTGTTCACAAAAAAATAAAACAACTAGTGTCACATGTGCCTCACCTCATCTTCAGACTCGGATGACGAACTGCTGGAGGAATCAGAACTCGATGAGGAGGAGGAAGAAGACGAAGAATGCTTGACCGCACACAACAAAAGCAGAGCTTATTAGATATCAAACAACTTGCTGAATAATGGGAGAAAATTCAGGACAAAAAGGCGAAAATCCTTATTCCAATTTGGTACATTATTTACAATGCAGATCTGGCAGCTGACCAGAAATTAAGACAGTTTCAGAGCAACTATGTTAGGGTATCATACAAGATGTGAAAAATGGAGAGCTTTTCTCACCCTACTTGATTTCTTCTTTTCCTTCTTCTTTTTCTGCAAAAAAGCCAAAGAACAAATTTACCACTATAATACTGTTATAAACAAGTTATGGTAGCATATTAGTATTATGGTTATTTATTCTTAAGTAGTTACCTCTTTCTTGTCTTTATCTTTCTCCTTTTCTTTCTTCTCCTTGTCTTTCTCTTTTTCTTTTTTTTCACCTCCGCTGAGGACTTTCTCTCTATTTTTCTCCAGCTCCTTCCTCCATCGCTGAGAATTAAAAACAAGTTCAATAATATATGCAGTTTGTCTTGAAAAAGTCTGTAAAGACCTTTGATGAATTTTATGAGGGTACCTCATTCATTTTATCCTCAAAGTCAGCCAAAGCTTTTGAGCCCTTCTTCTTCTTCTCCAGCTGCTCCTTCACCTCCTCCCTGTGGTAGAATGATGGAATAACACTGTCAATTCTTTTCTCACTGTAAACGTACAGTCACATGCAAAATTGTCAAATGACATGTTTTACTGAAATGTGAAAATAAGTTAAATAAATAAATAATAAAGTGAAAATAAGTCAACATCCTCTATAGGGAACAAACTTAAATTTCACATTTTTAAAAAAATGTTAGTGCAAAATTTCTATTGATTTGTGATTTGAGTTTAACCTATTGTGTATAATGAAACCTTATTCAACAAATAAACAGTAACTGCATTTAAATGTGTAGAAGTGTGTTCTCTGTAGAAAATGTGGTAACTTATTTTCACTTAGAAAATCAACAAAATATATAATTTCACCAGGGTCACCCAAATCTTTGCATACAACTGTACTTAATCAGGCAAAACATGTCTTTAGCTCAAAAGTCTATGCCACCAAAGAAGATTCTGTATTACAGACCTCTATTTAACTACATCAGCATCACAGCTCCAATACAAAACTAAAGCTACAAATCTGTACAACGGCGTAAGGAGAACATGCTGGAAATTAGATTTTTCATTAAACCACTATATAATTTGCTTTACTTCACAGCATAATGTGGTAGCACTAAAGTGTTTATCTAAGCTGCTTAAACATGACTTATATAATGCAAATAAAATTATTATTGCAAAACGTATTCACATCTGCCCAGGATATTTTTGTGTTGGTGTCTTAAACGTCTTTTTAATAAATTAGGATTAGTTACTATGAAAGATGTTATGAAGATGAATACTTATACAAATAAATACTACTGAGCAATGACTTCCTTTGCGCCACTTTACCATACTAATCATAAACCTGCATCACGTGGGTCATTATTCAATGTTTTATTTGAGTAATCTCAACCACAAAAGCCTCTATATAGATTATCTTAGATTCCTCCTTGCTCAATGATCCAGAAGGTTCTGAGGAAAAAGAAGCTGTATAGTGGCTGCATAAGACATATAATGTTTATTACTGACTTAGAAACATTTCCAAATCTTTTTTTTAATTAATTTTCATTCTATCTTTTTGCCACAGTGATGAATGTCCTCTACGACCATTTATCTAAAAACAACTCAGTGACAGGTGGACGCAAACAAACAGATTATATCATCCGGACTGGTTAATCCTCAGTATATCCTGGGCAGCATATCCAGGACATCTTCACAGTGAACACTCACTAAATTAAAAATACCTTTTAAAAATTCATAAAACTTCCCTTAAGGTTTCTGCATTGATAAAAAGAAAACTGTATTATTTGAGTGAATCTGAATTGCAAGCTAAAGTTGTATAAAATGTATTTTATAATTTTATGTTATGGTGGCAACTTTACACATTTAATAAAGTTAATGCATTTCTTCTCTCTCTCACATTTCCGTACCATGTTGGTCGAGGCCTACTGAGATAATCCTGTATGGTGGGACCGGAGACAGGTGCAGGTCCTCTGGCTCTGGCAGCAGCTATTGGGTTCAAGTATGCCTGCAATGCAAGACAGTTACAGAAATCAGACATGCATAAACATGAATATTCAGTTGCTGGGTTTCCAAAAGCAATCTGAACAACACAGTGAGTCAAAAACATTGTACACTGTACCCCCACAGAACAGGTATTATTTCAATGGTGGATCATTCTCAGCACTGCAGTGACAATGACGTGGTGATGGTGTGTTAGTGTCAGTTGCGCTGGCACGAGTGGATCAGACACAGCAGTGCTGCCAGAGTTTTTAAACAGTGTCCACTCGCTGTCTGCTCTAATAGACACTACTGCCTGGCTGATCCACCTTGTGGATATAAAGTCAGAGATGACAGCTCATCTGCTGCTGCACAGTCTGTGTTGGTCATCCTCCAGTCCTTCATCAGTGGTCACAGGACGCTGTTGTCTGGATATTTTTGGTTGGTGAACTATTCTCAGTTTAGCAGTGACAATGTGATGTTCAAAACTCTAGCAGCACTGCTGTGCCTGATCAATTCGTACCAGCGCAACACACACTAAAACACCACCACCACATCAGTACCACTGCAGTGCTGAGAATGATCAACCACCCAAATAATACCTGCTCTATGGCGGTCAGATTGGGGTCCTCACCATCGAAGAACAGAGTTTCAGGGGACTAAGAAAGCATGCAGAGAAAGAGATGAACTACAGTCTGTAATTGTAGAACTACAAAGTGCACCTATATAGTAAGTGAAACTGAAAAAATGGGTGTAGAAACAAGGAGACTTTTTAATGTTATGGCTGATCCTTGTATATGACTATTTGAGCTACACCAATTTACTGTGAGGACGATCAGTGCAATATCTAAGGATTCAGGTACAACCGTACTGTCTAGGACGCAGGGCGCTCTAATCACAGCACTAGTAAACCAGCTTAGGCTGACAGACTCGCATTCCTATATGCAGGTATAACTGAACCTGCCAGCCACGTCAACATCAGCACATATGTAGTTAACCTACTATTTAGCTAAAAGCCAGCTAAGGTTTACGTCTCAATGAGCTGAAACCACACAAAATTAAATGGTTATTTACTTTAATGTTTAATGGCAGAAGCTTTAAACAGTTACAGCTTAGTAATGGAGAGTTTATTTAACTAACTAGCTAACGTGAACGTCTTCTGGAGGAAGTCTTGCTACTACCAGGTGAGTAAGCTAACAGTATATTTGAGGCAAAAGGTAATTTCTGCACAAACTAAAACCATCTAGCAACCTGTTGTAAGGAAATGTGTCTAGTTAAATTAGCAATGAAACAAAGAAAACTGGCGAATATGCCGTTCATTCCAGGCTGTCTTAATCAATCTGATGGTCTATGCTAAGCTAGGTAGCTAATGTGATTAGCCATTATCCAATAGCTCTGGAAGGATTTAACAGTTAACTGGACTAACAATAAGGAATGCATTTTAGGAATTTAAGGAAAAGTTCTGATATTTAAAGCCTGAGCTGCTGGTAAATCTCCCCAACCTGCACAGCCTCTTTGCCAAGCGCTAATTTTAGTTAGCTAGCTAGCTAGCTAGTTACCGTTATCCAGGCCTAACACGAGTCTTGGGGGTTTGCCTCCCAGTGAGCTGAGCTTATTCTGCCTCTCTGTGTCGCTTCACTTACAAGATTATACACTCTATTTAACGTTTTAGTGTTTTTAACTTACCACTCTGTTATCCCGCTTCCCCATTTTTGTAGATGTGTTATTTAACCTGCAGAAGAAAACTTAGACTCTTTGTTTACATGGCTTGCTGTGCTGCTGCGACGACATCGTCTCTGACAAACTGCACACGTCTGCCACCTGGTGGAGAGAGAGCGTTACTGACCGCCACATCACTGCTGAACGTCATTGACAGAAAAAAGTGGGACGCCAAAAGCTCTTAGACAAAATTAAAAATAATAATAATGTTCAGTCATAACAGACATTAAGTATAAGTTATTCATTTTCAGCATCAGCAAAAAAGCAGAAAAAACACACAAATAATTTAATATTCCTTTTTTCAGTATTATGTGTGTCCACCCTTTGCTTTATTACAGCCTCCTTTGTTTGCTTTGCTTTGTTTTTTAAAGAAATCTCCAAGAATTATTTTTCACACCTCTAATGTTTGAATCTTAGAAGTTGGTTGCATTTTGTGCTTCTCAAGTAATCCTAAAAACATTTAGTGGTGTTGAGGTCTGGACTCTGGGGTGGCCAGGCCATTATACCGAGAACACCAGCAGCGTCTTTGTTTGATTTGCTGATTTTCTTCTTTTTTATCTACTTTTCTATTTCATTTTCTCATCTCAGTGATATACTGACACACAGTATTTATATATCTATATATATATATCTATATATATATATATATATATATAAAACAAACATAAAAAACAGAGATAGACCAAACAATTTTACTTACTAAAATATTTATTTAAAGAAAAAAGTAAAAACAATGACAGGCAGTTACAAATGGGACACACAGCACAAGCAGCTTTATTTTTCTATTTTTCAATTGCATCAAATTGGAACCACTTTAGCTGGGCTTTTTATCTGTCCTCATATTTGAGCAGAGCCTATGGAAAAAATTAGCAGCAAACCAGTTCAAAGAAAACACAAATAAAAAACTCATAACCCCTAAAAAAAGAACTGAGGAAAAAAAAGAAAAAAAAGGTGCTGTGATGAATATTTATGCTTAATTTGGTTGAGATAAAACTTGGAAATATTCTCTAATCAAAGCCTTAAACTGAACATAAGCAGGAACGTAAAGGCAGCACAAAACAATTGTTTCTAATTCATAAAAGCACTGACCATAAATACGTCTAACACCAGTCCACATTTTGTGTTGTGTAAGCTGTTATATAATTTGTGGGAAGCTACTGTCATTTGATTATTTGATTTCCTAAGTGCACTCTGTAATGAATTAAAAAGACCTGATGTGTGTGAAATGCATTTGTCATATTAGGTAACTTACCAAGCTGTTTGTATGCCTTTCTTGATCAAAAACATACAAATTGAAATGAATTGCTTATTGAAGTTATGAAACAGATGAAAAAAGAAAGCAGTAACAATTCAAATACTATTAAGCAACCTGATTACAAGTAACATTTCATGAATTGGTAAGAGCCAACCACATGAGCTGCTGAAATAAAGACTGTAGACCAAATTTATCATATGCCAGCTTTCATAGCAAACATCCTAAAACCTACTCAACACATGAAACACTGGCCAAAACTAACATCTACTCACTGCGTACATTTAAAACTGCTATGTAGAAAAAAGCAAATAAAATACATCAGTAAGTATCAGAATGATCAATTAGATAAATCTATAACACAATAAAAAGCAAAAAAACAGCCTGTTCTGCTAACTATTCTTGTTAAAAAGTGGAAAGCTGGAGAAATTTAACATACCATACAGACATTTCAACACAGTTCACTTAATTTTCCAGTGAAATACAAAGAAGTACAATGAACCTCACATGTGTGGTGCACACTAAAATGATACAAAACACGATTAGCAGTGAGTTGTACAGAAGAGGAGTCAATACTGGATACAGTTTTAAGAATGTACTTATCGTAACTTGTGAAAATACACAGAAACAGAGAAATTCAGTAGAACAACAGTTCTGAAATAATTCTATTTTTGCACACAGAGTCTGTTCATCGGCTCCGTGTCGCATGTAAGGCAAACGGTAAATCATACGAATCGTTTAGCAGTTTTACCCTTTCATATAAACCAGCTAAAACATTCCAGATAAGAAAGGCCTCTGATTCAGTTTGTTCTCTATTAAAAGGCTGGTGAATACATTAAAGGTAAAGGTAAAGTCACCTAGAACGCCTCGGATCACTGTTACTGTTCTTTTTTGCCCCAAAGAAGACTTTTCAAGTTTAAGCAATACTTATAGCACCATCATTACACCGCCACCCAATTAGACAGGCTTAATTTTTCTCATACAGTCTTTTTCAAAGTTTACCACCAATATGCCAATAAATAAAACAAACTGAATTATAATAAAAGTAGAGGCAAAGTTTAGAGGAGCTTGAGAGGAATAAAAACAAATGTAAAGTACCACTATCCAGCAATATGATACAATGGTTCAAAGACACTGATAACTGATTAAATAAAACAAAACTGATTATATTTGAAATTCAGATTAAAGCAAAGGAGTACAAACAATGAGAAACATTTCAATTTATTGTGTGTCACCCTCATGCATTTAAAATGGAACATAAAGGAAACTTCATTAAAAAGCTTTTTTTTTTGTATGGTTCCTAGGGGAAAACGATGAGATTTCAAGGTGCTGTTTTTGTCAACATAACTAAATCATGTCAACTTTTACATTTCATAACCAACTAAACATTTTACATTCCAGAAGCTTGAACCTTTAACTCAGCTATCACTCTAAAACACCATTAATAAAATTCAAGACCATTTCGATCTATTGAAATCGAGTACAAAAAAGCTCAGCTTACTGCTGAGCGAAAGCCACAATCAAAAGGCATACAGTTACATTTTAACACGCAAATATGTGTACTTTCTGACATCTAATGCCCACTGAAAAAATCTTAACATCCCACTCTTTCGCTGTCCATTTGGAAGAGGGAAACGCTACGCTGTGATGACCGTACGGCAGGTAACTGGAAAACGAGGAACTGACCAAGTGAGGGGGAAGCGTTTTTACCAAAAAATGAATGGAAAATGTGAAGGAATGTTAGCAGTACAAAAAAGTGAGGAGTTGTTACAACAGCAATCAGAGGGAGAAAGACACAACTGCCTCCATGTTTTATTATCAGTTCAAATATGAGTCCAGAATGCCATGTTACAGTGTTAAAATGGCTGATGATGCGAGTAATCAGATGAGCATTCGTGTAAATATAGTCATAAATAGAGCAACATTTATTGTACTATAATGTTAATGTGGAATGCATTAATACAGTGAATAGTTTGCAGACTTCATTTAATATGCGCTAATGTTATAACAAACCTGAAACATGTTGAATCTAAAACTACAACCATAAATAGACCTGAGAGTGGAGAGTGGGATAGAGCGAGTTGTATTTATCAGACGTAGTACGGTTTACACTGCAAAAAAGGATATCTTAACAAGTGAAAACATCTTCAGTCTAGTCAATATAGCCAAGATGTCTCAATAAGAGATTGTGTGGCCATGACTTAGTAAGGTGTGAGAATGAGATAATTAAGCCATGGCCACGACTTACCAAGGCATGGGAACAAGATCCTAATGAGTGGCCACAACTTAGTAAGGCATGGGAATGAGATAATTAAGCTTTGACCACAGCTTAATAAGGCACGATCTCGTTCCCACACCTTACTAAGTCGTGGTCACGAATTAATCATCTTTTTCTAACGCTTTATTAAGTCATGGGCATGCGTTCCCACGCATTAATATGCCGTGGCCACACATTATTTTTATTTTTACGAGATGTCACCAGCAGGGCTCCATAACTGTCAGATAATTTTACTCATACTTAATTCATGAAACAAGTAAAATTTTCTGCCAATGGAATAAAACACTTTCACTCGATAAAATTTCTTAAAACAAGTGAAAATGTATAGAAATAGGTTAAATTATCTCATAACGAGAGACATTAGATACACTGACTACATCTAAGAATTTTTCACTTTCACAAAGATATAATTTAGTGCAGCATACTATGAAAGGCAAAACCAGGCGGCCTCACTCTGAGCTAACTGATAAATACGAACCAATGAGTCTACTGAGATCCTGAGTGTATGAAGGAAGCACCAGTGCTTATCTGGATGAACCTGTGGATATATGTCTGTGATACAGTGCTTGTGTGTAGCTTCTCCTCAGTTTAGTCTTAGTCCTGGACCACATTGTAAAAAAAAAAAAAGTCTAAAGCAGCATCCTTCCCTCCTTCCTTCCTTTCCTCCCTCAATTCAAACTTATCTGAAAAAACAGACAAGAGGCTGGGACATCTAAGAGAAATGAAACATGGAAGGATATAATGTAAGACGTTTAAACTGTATGTACAACGTCCTGAATTCCAGCAGTCATCACATTACCCTTCTAGCCCTTTGCAAAACCCTTTCTCATGACCTTTTACATCTCATTTGCCATCTCTAAAACTAGACTATTTGTCTATCTGCTCACGCATTACTGCACTACAACTATATGTTAAACCACCTGCCGTTTACACCTGCTTTTGCTTTTATACTGATTCATTCTAATAGCGACTTGCTACCCAGTGAGGGGCACTCCTCTAACTACATAAATGAGCTACTATACCATTTCCCTGACCACAGGGTGCATACTGTATGACGTCATACATGGGATATAGCATTTTCTAACAAGTCCCTACACCTTCAAGTCAACTAAAAATTAAGACATAAAATAAAACCACAATAAGGCATCAACGATCAACACTGATATTACAAAAAAATATTAATAAATGAACAGTGTAGAAAGTAGAACAAACAATTTATGTAGCATTAGGCTATAATGCATTGTTACATTTTGCTAGGAGTTCAAGGGATGGTTTTCCAGACACAGATTAAGTCTAGCATTGGACTAAATTACACTGCCAGTGGGGACTAGGCTCAGTATGTGTCTAGAAAATCAGCCTGAAGTGTTTGGTCTCTCTGGGCCGATGGACACAGCTGGCACTATCACGAAGGAGTAAAGTCATATGATTCCTTGTCCTCTGTAAGGCAGTGAATGTGTATTAATTGCTGTTCAAGTCCACAAAGCCCAGCCCTCAGCCTTGGGGGAGGGACAACAAGCTGGCACAAAACTAAAACCTCAAATAAATCATTTGGCCCATAACTGTGAGCCATTCAAGGGCATGAGCAAGAGAATGTGAGTGTGTGATTACATCTTTTCTACTGAGGTTCTGTTCAACAGACCCACATTATCAGTGACGATTCTACGTTCCGCAGGGTCCGAAGTGTGACAACGGGTCAGTCACAGGCAGTTGCTGAATTGGAGCAGTGAAAGGCGGTTGAGTCCTGGCAGTTTTATCTCATTGACTTAATTCTAAGAAGGACAGAGTGATCCCTGGCATGGTGATGTAGCAGCCTCTGTATCAAGTAGCTGGCAGTGGAGTTTCCTCTGAGCAGAGGGGACGTCCTCTTAGGGGAAGACAGGCAGGCAGGAAAGCAGCTTCTGAAGTTTTCTTTGTTTTTTTTTTTAATTGCCCCAGGCAGGGAGTGAATTTACCTTCTGCAGGCCTTGCAGTGAAAACACATCAACCAGGAGTTGCTGTAATACTTCAAAGAGACCTAAAAGCAGCACGTAATGTTGCAATGGAAGACAAGTTCAAAAAGGAGGTTGGGGGCCAGTGCCTTGGGCACAGTGAGTTTTTAAGCCAAAAAAAGGGGGTCAAAGTCTTTCAGGCAGCTCTCTCCTCCAGGGAGGGCTTTTTGCTGGGGAAGGGCTGGGCATACAGACTCTTGCTGGTGCTGTCCAGGCTCTGGAAGTATGGGTGAGACAGAGCTTCATAAGCTGATATCCTTCTGGCTGGGTTGAATGACAGGAATTGCTGTGTGGATGGAGGAAAAAGTGAGAAAAGAGTCTGTTAATGTATTTGGAGTGGACCATTACCAAATGAACTGCTTGTACTTGGCTTTGGCATTTGGCTTGAATGGAGATTCTTAAAATGATAGTTTGGCAAAAAATCAAGTTTACACAATTTTCCCCTTACCTCACATGCAGTCAGTTTGTTGTCTGAAGTTAGTTTCTTGGTTTTGCACTGGAGCTGCAAGGCTAATGTAGCTAACAAGTAATGGAAGTAGCGATGAGACACTTTGTTTAGCTATTTAAGCACAGATGTTTTGAAGTACTGCTTCGATGTGTGGTCCAAATGCAAATGTGACATGACCACATATGAATGACGCTTGAGGATGTGTCCATCAGCCACTGAAAGCCAGAGGGCCTGGAAGGCCTTCACATGGCTTCAACCTGTGATTGACACATTGGCTGAGTCAATCATCTGATCTCGAATCACAGAAAGGCCCACTTACAAATTCTCAAATTCTTTAAAAGTGGTTCAAATGCAATTCTATTTTGAGGAGAGGAGGAGAGATAGAAACAAGTAATATTCATAAACCAACATCAATTCCCTGTGTTTGGAATTTTTTTAAGACTGGGGAGGTGATAAACGAAAACAGAAGTCGTCTTATCCCCAGCACAGCAGAAAGAAATCGTTTTCTGAAATAAAACTGCTGGAAAATAAGGATGCCGTGGTTCTCTTTTCTGTATTCCCAAACCAATGTCCAAGTTATTTAGCCCCCCACTCCTCGTATAGCCTACCTGTTGACAGTTGTAGTAATTATAATACTTGGTCTTATAATTGTGACCTTAATAAAAAATTAAACCTCCAGTCAATATTTCTTTCTTACCTTTATGAAACAAGACATTTTTAATAAAGATTAAAAAAAGATGGAATGAAGAACGGAAATATAGTCATGATGACCCAGATAAAATGGATGGCCAGTAGATGGACGGTCATTAGAGAGCAGGGTGTCGAATGTTTTGAAACCTCAAAACGCTTTTCGACACAATTGCTTTGAATATTCCAAGGCTTCATTTTGCACATCACTAACTAAAAGCCTGTGTATGTTATCACTGTGCAAATCACATGCCTTAACCTTGACATATTTTGCCTGTATTTTGACCATTTTTATAGATAACAACATGCCATTAGGCGACAGAAATCACATAAACAAATCTATATGACATTACGTAACAACAACATGGTCTGAGCAGGCGTGTGATGACGTAGGCATGCGTTTTTACAATGGTAATTGATAATAAGCTTACATTATTTGTTAGCATTAGTTTCCTAGCCCCAGTTCAAAACTTAAGAACCAAACTTCGGACACCAAACGTTAACTGAGCATACATAGGCTGCAAGAAAAATTGTGTGAATCTGATTTTGATTTTAAACTTGATTTGCCAAACTATCACTTTAAAACACTGTGATAATAAAAACACTGTTGAAACTCACAAGTAAGAGAGATTTGCCGAGTTCATCCATGTCTGGCACCAGGTCTTCGATGGGCTGGGGAGGGCGAGGGGAGAAGGCACTCTGAGGCAAACCCACCTCTTGGGGCCAGTCTTCAGGAGAAGGGACTCCAACCACACTGGAATCATCAACATTATCATCAGTATCACTTACATTATTATTAGTTACACTGCTGCTCATGAATATATTGTCTGACACATTTCCATCCTCATGTGAAAGTCAAAACAGTACTCACTCAAAAATCTTGCCCAGTTGGTCAACATCAGAGTTCCCTCGGAAAAGGGGTCTAAACAGTTAAACAGATTGGTTAGTGGTGTGACTCATAACACAAGAATGTACATGCAGGATGACTGATAACACACCATCGGTTTGAATCAATTAAGTACAGCCATAGCACAGTCAGTGTGCCACATCATACCATGCAAGCATATAAACTGTCCTTGGTTGGTCATAACATTTATTCTATAAACACAAGTTGTTCTCTCATGATAGCCAGAGAAAGACAATGAGCAAGAGAAAGAAAGAAAAAAAACAAAGAAAAAACGAAAACGAGAGATAGAGAGAGGAAAAATCCCCTCGCTGTGTTGTAGGCCAGCCAGGTCACAGAGTGGCGCTGATGTAATAAGCAGTGCTACTGTAAACGCTATAGTTTCCTGGCCAGGCTGACTGTGAGCTGGACTGAGAGAGAGAGGGACAGAAGAGTGAACTAAGGGCTTTTTCAGTGCATGCTGAGAGAGAGAGCTGTTCACATGTTAAAATCCTACTGCTGCTTGCTGCGGCTTTAGGCCCATTAGAAGGCCCATGGGCGGGCATGCTTCCCCCTGGCACACGCACAAATTCCAACAGAACCAGCCCAGGCCCCCGTCTCCAAACCACATCCACCGCCAGAGGAGGCACGAGGGGGGAGGAACGCTATTTTTCCCCGGCGTCTGCTCTGGCTGCCTATATGCCCCTGTGTGGGGGAACGGCAATGAGCCGTGTGAAAGAACGGCTCAGTTTATCTGACTGTGAGAAAGAAGCTGAGAGCAGCTCTAATAAGCCTTGCTGTTGTTGCTAATACTGGATGTGGAAAAGAAAAGTACAGTACGGAAATATGAACATCAAATAAAATGAACTGCCCAGTGTCGTCTGTTTAAACATGTTCACAAGTTTAGCCATAATCTAGTTTAAACAGACTGTTTTATGCAATCTCATGCAATGAGGATGATCAGCATTTTACTGTAATTATCACAGTGGTTCTTTCTCCTGGCTAAGCTTGGATAACGTAAATTTAGGCAGAATTATTACGGTAAACTATATAATTTTAATCTAAATTCAGTTATAAAATATCACATGTGGACATTACAGAGTCTTACTCTATAGCCAACATACTGGCAATATCATTTTCATATACTTACCAACAGAGCCATCCTCTAATTCAATTCAATTCAATTCATTCAATTCAATTCAACTGAACTTTATTGTCATTATATCAATACAGGGCTGTACAGTATAACAAAACACTGTCAGCCTATTTCTCCCATGTAGTGATGAGGTCAGCAGGTGGAGGTAGAGTTAAAAGTGCAATCTACAGCAGAAATAAATATGTAGTCTGAGCAATTACAGCTTAGGTGTTTTGTGTGCATTACTCAAAAGTACAGTATGTTGAGGTTAACTAGGTCAAATGTGCATATATAATAAGCATTGTAAACACAGTGTAACCACATCGTCACAGTTGTTATATTCACACAGTGTACAGTGCAAGTAAATGAGCATTTCAGCTGCGTATACAGGTTACAGCCTAAATGTTCAAATATAGAGAGTTCCAATCATAAGTGCATCATGCATGCAGTCCCATGAGCTAGCGGAGCTCAGTGTGTAGATATGCGGGTAAACTGGGGTAGATATGCTGAGTGAAAACTGTTGGTTCTGGCTCGGATGTTCCGGTACATCTTTCTGGATGGCAGAGGCTGAAACAGGAAGTGGCTGGGGTGTGTGGGGTCAGAGAAGATTCTGATATTACTTAATCATTTATAACGAACTACCCTGGCGATATTTTGCTTTTCAATCACATGAAAGCTGAGAATCGCTGGATGTTAACAGTGTTACATGCCATCTGTGCACAAAGAGTATGTGTTTTTTATACTGTATACATTTTAAACTAAACATATATTAGAATGAACACTGGGAATTATTTTATTAAGGCAAATCAATAAAAAACATCACATGGCACATGTGAGAATGAAAGAAAAATAATTTGCATATACTTAGCACATATTTGACAGTATCTATCATCAGCCCAGGGCTAGTACTTCTGCATTTAGTGTTTTAACACCTGCTTCAGTTCAGGCATGGTTTCCATTGCATTACATTTACGTATTTAGAAGATGCTATTATCCAGAGAGCTTTACAGAGTAGCATGTGGTTTTGCCTGGAGACTCTTGATAATATGGTAATGGCATTCTGGCCTGGACAGGGAATAAAATCTTCCATTTTCTGTGTGCAGACTAGGGGTGTTAATGATAAACTGAGTAACCATTATCCCACAAATATATAAATGTTCAACTAATGCTTTCAATTAAAAAGATAAACAATTTACATTTGAAAAGCTGTTTTGTTTCATTCAACATGAGGACCGGTTTTTAATTGCACGGATGAGGAAGCAAGAGCGTGACTTGTTCTGATAGACCTACTTAGTGATGCACAACTCTGGGTTTTCTAGGGTCAAGTCTGACTCACAACTTGTGCCAAGGGAGTGGATGGAAGCAGAGATTAAATCTTCCTACATGTAATTAACAGTACTATTGTAACTGCAATATTTAGTCATATAACAATGCTAGACTACAACTGACTCTTTTTTAACTGTCATGTTGGTTCTGCAGAGTGTAGCCTTAGGCTTAGGTCTTCAAATGTGTTTGTTAGCTAACGGTTAGCCCATGTAGTTAACTTGTTAGTCCAATGAAAGAAAAGAAGCTTACAGTCTGTGAGCTAATGAGTTTATGTTGACTGTTATTTAAACTATGAATATGAATCTTAGCTGCTATCAGGCCACAGGTGGGCTAATAATATGTGGTAAATGTAAGTAAGTACAGTACATTAGCATAGCTGTTTCGTTACCCTACTGAAAAAAAAACACAGACAAACATGAATTTCATGTTAGTCTAAGCTGGTTTACGCTGGTCTGGTGCTGGTTCAGGTGGTCACCCTGCATGGTCATGCTGGTTGACCAGCATACCAGCAACCAAAACACAACATCTGCTGTTTTTTGCTGGTAGCCAGCTGCTCATTTATGCTGATTTTTCTAGCCAGGTATGCTGTGTTTTTTCATTCAGTTTAGCCTAAAGCCTCATGTTCGATGATTTCTTGTTTTAAGTTTTGTCAGCTCACATTTAATCACTGACTAATAACGGTCGGTTGTCAGGCAAAAGAATTTGCCCAAATTTGCATTCCTAGTGCAGACTGATGGAGTTATACACTCTGCTATTCAACAGTTTGTCACTGGAATAATTGATCAGACGTATTATAGCAGGCAAAACCCCAAAATATGCAGGGGCAGGGGTACTCCAGGACAGTGGTTTGAAGCCTCTGCTGTAATTTAACAAAATGTGTAGCTGCAACGCACTCTATCACCATCAGAGGTCACTCTCCTGCAGCAAAACAGAGCACAAGGCCCCTTATACTACAGCCGCGCGGAACTCAACTGACTCTCAACTGTAGAGACAAAGAGGCAGCTGGGAGCACGTGCTCCCTCTGTGCTCCCTCTGTGCTCCCTCTTGTCTTACCCCATCAGCTCATAAACTGCCTTCCGTCACGTCACAAAGCTCTTTCAGACTTTGTAGATGAGTCTCAAACACACATACGTTGCGCTTTGCCCACCGCTTCCGAAACTGAGCAATTATCCTGTCAAAAAGTCTTACCGCCTGTCAGCCATAAGTCTGTATTTTGAGCAGAACAGTCTTCATGTCACAGTATGCTAAACATTCTTTACAAGTCAGAAGTGAAAACCAAAATGAATAACTCATTCTGTCTCCTTTTCAAACCATCTGTCATTTGAGATGTGCGACACCGCACGCCATTCATTCGCCATAGAGAGAGAAATCCGTGGGTTTGAAATGCGAAACCTTCAAAGCTTTTACAGTCAAACTGGGCAAAACGGACAAAACCAGTTCTATTTTCTAACAGCAGAAAAAAACCCTGAAGCTATGTCATGCCAAAACAAGTATGGCTGAAAGTCTCTAGAGCTGCATTCTCTCTTTGCCCTTGGGCTACTTGTTAGTCTGACTGAAGTCGGGGCTTTTTGCACAAGGCTGATATTATGCAGCAGGCAGGCTTCCTGAGTGAGTGGGCACAGCCAGGCCAGCACACGCAGCTGAGTCACACTCCAAGTGCCAGTCCCTCCATCCACATTCCACTCTGATAGCCTCTGGAATGCTTGAGTGTCTGTATGTGTATGCGTGTATGCGAGAACCAGAGGGAGAGGAGAGCGTTTCTATTTGAAGAGCACACTAACACATACATACATATGCATGCATTGTGAGAAAGTAAACACGGATGTGCATGCCTTCTTATGCACACTGTGCCAACATAACATGTTCGACCTTCGGATCGGTGGAATGTCAACAACACTTTCATAAACACGTCATTCATAAACACGATGACTAATCGCTCCACCATCTGAGAGATGCAGATACAGACTTGCATAGAGGTAGAATTCCCACTTAGTCTTAACGGTGCCTTCTTCTGAAATCATCAATCTGCCCAAGATGAAATCAATCTGCCCAAGATGAGATGCAAAGCTGGAATATGAGACCTAAACTTTTTGGAAAACTGAAAGCACAGGAAAATGCAACACACAATGAGCTGTGGTTAGCAGACTCTTTGGTCTACACAACAGATCATTCCTGAAGGCTCTATGAATTGAATTTTCAATAGCAGCTTCTTCAATACCCATGCACAGTGAGCTGCTAACTCAGGTGTGCCATGTCTTTATCATTCTCAGGTGAATCTTAAACCTCCATTACTGGCTTGGCTCTGATGGTGTGGTGCTCTTCACACAGATCAGAGTGGAAGCCTTGGAAATGCTGCTCCCAGGTGCCTTTTAATCTGCAACAGGTGGCCTTTTAAAACGTATTCTTAATCACCTCCAGGAGAGAGAGAAAAGGAGGCGCACTGTTAGCAGGGATCAAAGCACCTCCCTTCCGCCCTCAGGCACTCTTGGAGGTGGGCCAGGAGCCCAGCACAGTGGCTTTTTACAGGGCATTGTGTCAGAGAGAGAGAGAGAGAAAGAAAGAGAGACAGACACAGACACAGCCTGAACCCTACAGCACCTCACATCACACAAAATGATGACCTAACTCACACTACAGGTCCTCTCCACTCCAGCCAGGTCCAGTGCTGACCTCCTGTCTCATCTGGCCAACGCTGTTAACTTACTTTCAGGAATGAAATCTTTCTACAGCAGTGGTCAACCCTGGTTCCGGAGAACCCTTTCCCTTTAAAGTTTTACTAGTCTTAGCCTCAGGTGATCCAACTATGCATATGCTATGTATATGCTAGGCGATTGCAATCATCTCAGAGAAGGACTGCTAATCTAAGATCTAAGGTCTTGATCAGCACTTCTACTCTGAGAAACTGTATGCACTGTAAAAATGATATATTAGCAAGTGACACCATCTTAAACCTAGTCAATCTATCTAATATTTCCCACTTTGAGATTGCTGTAACAATGTTATAACGTTTTTTCAACTTATTTTCGGATGTATTTTACTTATTTTAAAAATCTATCTAGGGAAATAGTCGTATTCTGTTGGCAGACGATTTTTCTTGTTTCAGTGGTTTTGAAATGAAAAATATTAGACATTTTTAGAATATCATTTTTTGCAGTGCGAACAGTGGCCTGGTTCCATGTGTTTGCAATTCTGTGCAATGTTTTTTTTAATCATTCTGAAGTTTATTTAGCTAACTGCTTGCTAGTCACCAGTAGCAAGTAGTTGCTTGCTCAGTAAACAATGACAATAATGACCCTTTCTGAGTAAGATATCATCGCTGGATTGAAAGTTCACAGTATTCCATCTTTAAAAGTTATTTAAGATTTTATTCAAAGCTGGTGCAGCGTTTCCTCATCGCAGTTTAGCCACTGTAAACCACTTTGTTTGGTCATTTTGCATGTTAGTCAAATGTCCCTTTCCTGTTAAAGCAGGTGGAAGGTAATCACACTGATGACAAAACCAATCAGACTCTCTGGCTTGCAAGACTAGTGTTTTGCCTGCTCTAGCACACTTCAGCTTAGGAAGGGCTTGCTAATTAGCTAATTAGTTGGATCAGGTGTGTCGACACCAAACGGTGCAGTGCAGGGGTTCTCCAGCATGAGGACTGGGAACTATTTTGCCATAGTATACAGTAAGTACATCAGAGAAGCAGTAAAAGAATTTGACTCTCACTTTTTTAATGGGATATTTTGTTTTTTTCACTTTAAGCTCACGAGCGGATGCCGGATGGAGGTCCGCATGAGCAAACAGACAGGTGGGCCTGTTAGGATGTGAAACACAGGATGTGTGTGAGTGGATCTGTGCTCCCCATCACATACACCTCTCCCTCCTCATCCTATCACACACTCGCCCTCTGCAAGTGTGGAGAGGAAGACATCAGCCCACACATCCTCCTCCGCACAATGAGGGACAATCAGCCAGCCATCAACTGTGCTTCTGACGGGTAGGAAACACACGTGCATCAACACTTAGCCTGTGTGTATATTAGTTACACTACACATGCACAAACACACAGTTTTTTATTATCGCTTGAAACCCACCTGGGGTCTTCCTACCGTTATACAGTAGGGACATGTCTTACTGGTGGTGGTTAGGGGAAGGAAATCAAGATTGCAGACTGAGTTTGCTTTCCAGCACCCTTTTCTTTGCATGAATAACTGCTCATCTTAGACAACACTGAGCAACTATGCAGATCACAAATATACTCATAATGAATATCCACGTACCAATAGCACATATTTTCCATACTTCACAAGACATGCTGAAAGTAATGCACCGATCTGACAGCCATTACAAATGTTTCTGAGTCATCTGAGCAGAAGTACAGACAGCTTTGTTGCAGCCACCATAGAGGAACATGGCACTCGGAGTCCTCAGATGCTTTCTGCAACCACAGCAAACAGTAAGAGCATTTCCCCAACTGTTTAACAACCCCAACTGACTGCAAAAATGTGGTCACAATGAAAGAAAGGGCATTTAAAAAGCTCTTTCTACATTTCGTGTGCTCGCCACACATTGTGAAACACTGGAGGAACAGTAACTAATAAAAATGCCTGCGACAGCTTGTATTGTGTTGCTCTGCGAACACAGTCTGACCCAAATCCTTCAAAATAAGCTTGATAAATGTCACTGAACTCCCGAGTGAAAAGGTCCACTTCAGGTCTTCAGTCAGAAATGCACAGTATCCACTGCAAGTGCTTAAGACTGTAGTAACACTGACAAAGGCTTTTACAGTGACTTTTACAGGGACTAACGGTGTTTACATTTGAGGCTAATCTATGAACTAAGAGGCAATGATATTTAGACTCTCTACTGAGTGTTTCGAAGCTCAGATTAGCTCACGCTGACTGTGCAAATGGACAAAAGTACAGCACATAGCTAAATACAGTAGCAGCACATAGCTAAATATAGTAGCAGCCATCTTGAAATATGAATTTTATCTATACTTTTGTCTATTTTATAGATAACTGTATGCCACACAGTATCATAGACCAAACAAGCAATGCTGTTTGAGCTTACTGACTAAAGAAGGTGAATGAATACATTTGAAGTCAAGGGAAAATTGTGCATTGTGAATTTTCATCAAACTATCACTTTGACCTTTGGCCAAAAGTGCAAGACTGAATGCCTGCTTTTGTGTCTTTTTCAAGCAAACACAAGAAAGTGACCTAAAAGCTGTGTGAAACTACCAGTGATGGGGGCACAACTGGGTAATCAGGTTGCCCAGGCTTGACTTGTTCTTTATACTCAATGAACACAACACCCTTTGAGAGTCATAACTGTAATGCTTAATCTCAATCAAATCAGTGACAGTTGCAACATTGGGTAATGTGGAATGCATGAAGTCTCACCTTCTCCTGAACATCTCAGCAAAGATGCATCCCACACTCCACAGATCCACTGGGGTGGCGTAACTGGACTGCAGAAGCACTTCTGGAGCTCGATACCATAATGTGACCACCTGAAACACACGAAAACAGACCAATGAAACATATGTTGAAGTTAACATGAAGGACATGCGTGTATGAGTGATATATTTGAGAACAATTCTGTGCTCGTCTTTATTAGCGGGCAAAGATTCTAATGGCTCATGGAATTCAAGTTTTTCTAAACTAGGGGATACAAAAATGTTTCTGTGCCCCTGCGTCCGAGTTACGTAAGGTTTGAAATCACATCTGGCAAAACAAGCCTCCACATTCCCGTTTTGGTATACCAAGATCGCACAAAATTTCCACAGCAGGCCATTGGGGACCTCTCCCATGGTCTCCATGTGCCTCTATGGAACCCAGGGCCTTTGGCCTTCAATGGCTTACCAACAAGCAAGCCATTCAAACTCTAAATCTGATCCCTGCCTTTTCTCACTACAGAATCTTCCAGAGCCTTGCAGTCCTCTTAAAGTGACAGTTTGTCAAAGACAAAAAATTAAATGTACTCAATTTTCCCCTTACCCCTAATGTTCTCAATGAGCCATGACATGTTTGTGTCCAAAGCTTGCTTCTATAGCTTTGCACTGAACCTGCATGCCTAAATCATTACACACTTACCTCAAAACATGTTGAGTAATCTCTAATAGACTTGCATATGTGTTTAAGGGGCATGTAAAGGGCAGCAGCTGTGGTCCAATGGTGTAGAAAAATAAAAATGAAAAAAAAACTGGGATCCTTGACGTTTGTCCATTTAACAGATAACAGAATGTCATTTAGTGTCAGAAACTACAAGCTTTGGCTGGTAAATGAAAAATTGTGTGAATGTAATTTTTTGCCAAATTACCACTTTGAAACCATGTCAACTCCTTAAACTCAGTGACACCTGCTTTTGCAGACTGGCCTCAGATCTGTCCAGCTCCTGAAAGGCCCGGCTAGAGGCCTGCAGGATCCACAGCAGACTGGGTGCACAGCAGAGGCGCACTGTTAACAGCTACAGTAGGGAGAGCCTCCAGACGAAACTCAGTGACCCTGCTCCAGAAAGTGGACAGCTTCCAGGTGCTTTCCCTCTCCGGCATGCTGTCCTCCCCGTGGGCTCTGGGCCCAGAAACCCTCCAGCTTATCAGCCAAATCAGCCGTCCTTGTGTTTGTAAGCAAAGCCTGGGGCATATATCAGGGAGCGCGTATCGTAAAATGCAAGGCACACTGGCACATGGCCAAAGACGCAGCACTGAGAGAGCGTCATCCTTAATGAGCGTTGGTGTGGGAAATAAGCTACGAATGGCGGACAAACCACACGCTGCTGATTAGACACTAACTAGAGTAATGCATTGTGTTGCGAAGTGAGAAGAATTGATTCAATGGCAAAGTATATTACAAAATGAAGTGTTAGACAGCCAAGGAAGAAGGATTGCACAGAAAATTGAACGTAATTTTAAGCTGATTTACTTGTAAATTTTGTTTCAAACATACAATTCAGTCCATACACAGAAAGTACGATGCAAGAAATCCCTTTTTTCATAACTGTGATGTCACAACAATGAACATGTTTTCTTATGACCACCCATTCATGTTCAAGTGATATAGAGTGTTGTTACTGCACAGTCTGTAGCAGCGGAACTGGAGTAAAAGTTGTAGAGGGAAATTATGAAACATTGTGCTGTTCCTGGCTGTCAGGAAGCAAATGCATCACTGCAGCCTTTCAAAGGATCCAGACATCCAGTTCATCCAATTTCAGCCCATGCTGTTTAATGAATGAGGTACAATACAGGGTAGCCAATCAGAACAGAGGTCATTTACATATATCAGTCTTAAAGGCACAGTAAGAAAAACAACTTTAAGTTTATCTAACTTAATTTTATTTATCTAGTTAACTTATTTCTAAGGAAAAAAGAGAGGCTGAAAATGGCCATGTAAAATGAATTATGACTGTTTGTAGTACATACAATCATTATGGACGTTATTGCAAAAATATTAAATACAAGAAAAGTACAATATGATGATATAAGGGTTGACGTTTTGACAACAGGAGGCGACAACTATGAACTGCCTTGATAATCTTAGTCAAGTACTGTAGTCCCCCACTCGTTGACCAAAAGTTTTCACAACTTGACTCACTGCTCATGTTTCAAGGTCGCGGTGCAAGACCAGTGTCAATGGAATTAAATTAAGCTCACGTTTTTCAAGTGCAAAAGAAGTTATTTTTAGTGGCGGACAGCATGTGCTATGTTGACACTTTCTCATCTTAGTCTTCCTGATTAAGGGGAACTAGAGAGGAAGTCAAAATGAACTCAAAAGGATGAAACATTTTGGTCTTTCGTTGTCATGTGGCCTCAGCTGAGGCACATGATTCATTCTAAAATAGCCCCCCCACCAACTCTCCCTCTCGCTTATCATTCAAAATCAGACATTCATTCAGATAGTGCTTGTTATGACCATTGGTGCAGTACAGTTCCTAATTAACATGACATACAGCTCAAGCCTAACACTGACTCATTTCATACAAGGGTGCGCATTCAACAGGGAGACTTGGGTGCTTTGGTAAAGATGATAAAAAGGTTACTAAGGTTAGTCTGAGTAAATGGTCAGATATTCCACTCTAAGCAGTTCAGAAGTGAACAACTGATCAACTATATCGCAACCAGATTCTATCAGTGTCAGTTTAAAATCAGACAAAGGTTGTTTTCTGGGCAATAACAAAACAGTATGATGTTACCTAAAGCTTACTATATGAGCAACATTTTGGGGGGAGATGCAGCACGACTTCTAGGAAGAACCACAGCTGAAGTATATCCGCTTTTCTCAACACTGTGTTTGTGGTGTGGCCTTCTATTAACACACGCATGCTCTCACACAGCTCTTTCATTTACAAATGGTTTTGCTCTGCAGAAAATTCTCAAAGGTGAAGACAACAGTTACGCAGGTGTGGTTGTTCAATCTTTGAGAAAGAGAAGAAACAGAAGCGTGCAATGATTCAAAGACTGTGTGACATGTTACGTAGAGAGCTATTATGGCTGAATAGTATTTGCAATACATTTTTTGAAACATAGTGAGCCAGCCAGCATAAAAAAGGCTTTGCACCACATTATATCTCACAAGGCATCAACATGTTAAGCTAAGCATTTTCAGTCACAATTCTTTTCACTTTGTCACTTGGCAGTGAAACTGTCACAACTTTGTCACGTGTCATGCACCCAGAGCAGGGTTCCTCTGTCAAACGGCATATCATTCTGTTTACCTCAGAGTGCACGCAGAACTAACTCAAACAGCGTCTCAGTGATTGCACTGAATGAAATGAAGCGGGTGTCTGGTCGAGGTGATGAAACGCCTTCCCCTCGCATGCCTCACTAGTTCATGCCTGCTTGTTTGTTTTCCCTATTTTCATTACAGTACAAACAAGCCAGGCTCAGAACTACTAGTCAGGCCAGCTAAGCCTCAGGGCCTCAGTCAAAAAAGCTTTCTCATTAAAATTGTTAAAACCTTTATGTTATATGTTTATATGCACAACCCAGTTCCTAAAAAGTTGAGAAAATTCCAAAAACAAAGTCAGTGAGTAGCAAATTATGTTTGACTTCTATTAACCTGAAAATGATACAAAAACACAATATTTTATGTTTTACCATAAGAACATTGTTTTTTATAAATATATACACTTTTATTGTCTGCAATTTGATGTCTGCAACATGCACCAAAAAGTTACATCACCATTCACTTAATTATCATTTAGGGGCTGAAGGTACAAAATGATCCAGTTTTGAAAGCAGAATTTTTTTTCATTCTTCTTTTATCCTCTGCTGTCTTCCGCTGTTTAACTGTACAGACCCTTTTTGTCATATTTCAAGCTAAATAAGACGTTTTCAACAGGAGACAGTTCTGGACTACAGACAGGCTGGTCTATTGCCCAAACACTCTGATCACACAGCCCATTTGTCCATGTGGTGATATCACAGAAACATGGCGGTTTTTAATGCAGTGACGTTTGAGGGATTGACAGTCACTGGCATTCATTCATGGTTTTTGGCCTTTTACTTTATGTACAGAGATCTCTGGATTCCCAAAATCTTTTGAAGATATTATGCACTGTAGAGGATGAAATACCTAAAATCCTTGTAATCCCCGGTTGAGAAACATTTTTAAACTGTGATTTTTAGAATGCTGATGCATTTTTGGCCAAGTGGTGAGCCTCAATCCTTGCTCATAAAGGATTCAGCATTTTCTAGATGGTCTTTTTATGTCCAAGCATGATTGCATCACCTGTTCAATGTTTTTTGAACATTGTGAAATGTTCCTAGTCTTAAACTGCCCCATCCTAACTTTTTGGAATGTGTTGCAATCATCAAGAGTGTGTATTTATAAAAAAAACAATGAAGCTGATATAATTAACCAGTACATATATTGTCTTTTGTTCAAATACAGGTCAAAGTAGATTTACAAAATACTGCTTTCTGATTTTATTTGCATTTTACCTACTGTCCTAACTTTTTTGAAAGTGGGTTTGTACCTCAACTGTGCGCCTGCTTATTAGGGATGAGGAAAAAAACAACAAAAACACAGAAGGTTTAACGGTCATTTACTGCATGCAGCTAGCATAAGAGGTAATCGTCCAGTTGATTTGATGGTCTATTTTAGTGTTTTAAGCATATGTGGCAGCTGAAACCAGCTGTCTTACAGAACAATAACTCACAGGCTTATACTAAACAACTCTGACATCTTAATATTTTGATATTTTGATATATATAACTCTGATAGATGTTGCCATTACATTTACTTTGAGTACTGATATCAGCTGCTTGTTTGTGACAGGGTCCATATCATGGGACTTTTTTTTTATATATAATGGGTTTGATATAGTATATAATGATTGTTAAAGTTTCAAATCATACCATTCACTCCCCAATCTATATGGTTCATATATGTAAACTAAACAGCAAAAACAGGCCATTTTGAATGGACTGTTTTTGTTGAACTCCACCCATTCACACTTACGTTATAATGAGTGTTTCAGTCTGAAGTGCTTTTTAAATGAGACACAATACAG